GGGGGGGGGGGGTCCAAAAATCGTTCTCTAGGAATATACCAATATCGCCAGTAATATATTTTAAAATACGTTTAGTTTTTCTATGTATTAATATAATGGGACTGTTATTCAGACTTTTAAAGAAATAAAATAATTATATCAGCTGTATGATGGACATGCAGATAAAATGATTTAAAAAAGATTAAGAAGAATTCTGAATTAACATTTATTTTTTTTCAGAGAAGTTGAATTGAGTTGAATATGGTTCGAGTTTTGTCAGTTCATCATTTCACATCGCAGGGACATACAATTCTTTTTATCAAAACTTTATGGAACACACAGGACCCCAAGAATCAATTTATCGACTATTTATTTATGCCAAAGGCGAAGATGTCGGCTATAAGTATTTTTAGACTTTACATTTTCCTCATCGGTTTGTCGTAGACAAAATGTTTTCATGGGGGCATGGGAGTTTTAAGCCCCTCCACCTCCTGCAAAAAATGCTGTATGCGCCCCTGAAAGTCTGAAATTAGTTTTACTAGGTGCACTTAAAATTCAACAAATCATAAGCATAAGCTGTAGTCTTAAAAAATCAACATAATAAAGTATCTTTACTTTTCGTAGTAACATCATTTTCACACATTTAAACGAAAGAAGATTAAAACTAGGGAGTTTTACCCCCATTTCTCCCTGGATTAAATCCTGTTCACGCCCCTGTTCCATTCCAAAAAGTTGTATGCCCATGAAGGATGTTGTCTCCTGTCCTGAACCTGTCGCAAGTGTAACTGCTGGAAACCTTCTTCTGCTTGCCTCTCCCCTCCATCAGGTTTATTTTACTGAACCCATTCGTCCCAACCCACGTTAGCACAGGAAATTGTTTAAGGGATTGTGGCGTATGCGCAATTGTATATATTTATGTCTCTGATGTTATAAACCAAGTTGTCTTATTAATAGCTTGCAAAATTTTGTAATTCATAGAAATCGGTCTGTGCACATTGCCTAAATTGCTGTGTTTTATGTATATTGTACATTTGACAATTTACAATCATAAATTAAACCTTACAGTCGTCTTCCTAAATTATTCAGATTAATGGGTCCTGCTCTAGTAACTTAGATTTGTTAAAGTAATAATACTGATAATGCCTGATTTGATTATAAGAGAATAAATTCTTTAAAAATTTACAATTTTGTAAAAACCATCTTGTTATTATAAATGTGGGAATGAAAATAATTTTTTATACTAAAAATAATTTTTTCTTCTGTTTAGTTTTTTTTAAGTAAAAATAGTTTTTTGGTTGTTTTTGTTTTCTATATTTACCAAAAAAAGATAAATGCAAGTTTATTTTGAAGGTTGAAGTTCGAGATCTTAGTTCCCCTGAATCCTTCTTTTCATTCCCAACAGTTGATTTGGTAGAGAATATACTGTATAGTCCTGTAGGTAATATATCTTAACTTACTTTATCAATCAACCTATTAATTCACCAATCAATCATTGAATAGTTCACCCAAATGTTAGGTTAATGAAGTTATCAATTGACCAACCAGTTGATCTTTTAATCAATAAATCAATTAATTTATCAATGAAATAGTTTTTCCAATCAATACATCAATGACATTATCAGTCAAGTAATTATGCAACTAGCTCTGTAATCAATTAAGATTAATCCATGATTAAAGCGCCAATTCAGGATTCAATAAATAATTATATCAATCAATACCACCAAATGTCAAGGAAGGATTAAACAAAGCATTGAATGGTTTAGGAAGATATGTACTAGCAAAGGAAGTTAGAGAGGATCAAGCTTTTGTAAGGTATTAAACTTTTTTTAAACGATATATTGTTTATCTATCAAACCTTAAAAGGGGAGCTGAAAACGAACAAACAATATGAATTTTAATATTCGATTGGTTTAGAGTGTACATCAACTGGTGGAACAAGGAGTCTGTTCTGCATCCTATGAGAGCTAGAGTGGCTGCAGTTACTCCAGGTAGACAGTACAGTACAGTACAGTACAGTACAGTACAGTACAGTACAGTACAGTACAGTACAGTACAGTACAGTACAGTACAGTACAGTACAGTACAGTACAGAAACAGTACGGTAACAGTGTAGTGCAGTACAAAAAAAATAGCTGTATTGTTCTTAATCTTTAAAATATTCGTCAAATTCCATCCCGCAAACAGCATCAAAGCGATATCGGTACTCAAGGTTTAGCATGAAGATTGAAGATTAAATATGAAACTTGTTTGACGCTTTCAGGAAACAACAAGGAAGAGCAGAGCTTTGAGATGATAGAGCTGGTGTGTGGGACTAAACCTCTAAATATCTGCGTCTGCTCCTCTACAGGTAGGGATTGACATTGTTTTAAAAAAATATTAAATTAGCGGTCTTTTTAAAACATATAAAACGTTTTATTTTTTAAAGAAAAAAATATTAAAACCAACAAAGTTTCAGTTGTAGCGACTTGTGTAAAAGATCATCTCGTTTTTTTCATTTAAAATGATCAATTTGTTAAAATTTTCCTCGTTGTAACCAAACGATTAAAGTATTTTTTTTCAAAAAAGCGATAATTGATATTCACTTTCTACAGGAAACCTGATAATATTGACAGAGCATACTCTTAACGTCTTCAAGTATACCTTGGCCAGTCAGACTCCGACTAAATACAAATATATAGACTTTCAGGTTAGTCTTTAGTTTATTTGGCCGACATTTTTAGTGGTTACGTAATTGAAGAATGTCTGATTCCTAATGGTACTTTTTAAAGATTTTTCTGATCAATTATGTGGAAGATATATGTTAAAAGAGAAGCGATGGATATCTCTTATATTCCTGTAAAGACGAAGCTGTAAAGAATTACTGCGGTAAGACAGACGTACGCAACTGGAGAGTTCCTTGAAATTGTTAAACATTGATTCACTAAATTAGATAAGATTCTAGATTGGAATAAACTAATTGAAAATCTTTCCAAAATAAATTTACTTGAAAAATATTTTTGTAAATTCTATTGAGTTCCAAATGAATTTCAGGGATTGTTTTTTGAACCAAATGGCTTTTTTCTTATCAGAGCATGAATTGACCAGCGGTTTTTCAAAAATGTTGAAACAGCTGAACCGAATCAGTAAATTTTGAAAAAATTACAAAGGATGAATTTTGTGTCTATATTACTTATTTTTATCTGACTTGAAAAATCCTTTTTCAAAACTTCATAATTAATTTTTTAGCTAAAATGCAAATTTAAACAAATTTTTAAATAAATATTTTCAGTTGTGTATGCAAATCCACCTGAGCTACATGCCTTCAGAAATCCAGCTGACTGAAGATATCGTTTCCTGTCTGAGTCCTAGTATGGTTCATGTGTTTAAGGTAACTAACTGTTCACTTTTCCTATTAAATTTCATTTTTTAAAGTTCGATTTATTTTTACCTCAAATGATTATTCCTTTTCTCAAAAATTTTTGATTTTCAAAAAAGTAAAATTTTCTTAACATCAGGGGGTAATGAAAACGTAATGAAAACTTGGAATGTAGAACGTGCAGGGAGGGAGGGGTGGGGGCAGGAATGATTTTTCTGGACATTATGGATTATTTGCTCATTAACATTTCTTTTCAAATTCTGATGCTAGGTGAAGTTGGAAGAGTCGGGAGGGGACGAGGATCCCCCAAGGAGTTTAAGCATGTACAGTTTCAGGTTAATATACACTTTTATTTGATCATTTTATGAATTTTTAACTACTATGTCATTGTTTAAATCACATGCTATTAATATATTGTGTATACCATTGTGATGCTAACATTGTTTTAAACCACTATGATGCTAACATTGTTTAAACCACTATGATGCTAACATTGTTAAAACCACTGTGATGCTAACATTGTTAAAACCACTGTGATGATAACATTGTTAAAACCACTGTGATAATAACACTGTTTAAACCACTACGATGCTAATATTGTTTAAACCACTATGATGCTAATATTGTTTAAACCACTAAGATGCTAACATTTTAACATTGTTTTAAACCACTATGATGCTAATATTGTTTAAACCACTATGATGCTAATATTGTTTAAACCACTAAGATGCTAACATTTTAACATTGTTTTAAACCACTATGATGCTAACATTTAAAAAACCCACTGTGATTCTATCCTTGTTTAAACCACTGTGATGCTAATATTGTTTGAACCATTGTGATGCTAATATTGTTTAAACCACTGTGATGATAACGTTGTTTTAACCACTGTGATGCTAACATTGTTTAAACCACTAAGATGGTAACATTTTAACATTGTTTTAACCACTGTGATGCTAACATTTAAAAAACCCACTGTGATTCTATCCTTGTTTAAACCACTGTGGTGCTAATATCGTTTGAACCACTTTGATGCTAATATTGTTTAAACCTCTGTGATGCTAATATTGTTTGAACCACTGTGATGCTATTATTGTTTAAACCTCTGTGATGCTAATATTGTTTGAACCACTGTGATGCTAATATTGTTTAAGCCACTGGGATGCTAATATGGTTTTAACCATTGTGATGCTAACATTGTTAAACCCACTGCATTGTGATGCTATCCTTGTTTAAACCACTGTGATGCTGTAACTTAAGCCCGGCCCTGTGATGCTGTAATATTGTGTTAAGCCATTATGTCTCTGACATTATATTAAATTTAACCCAGATTTTTATTAAAATACTCAACGAATGTGACTTTTTAATCATTGGAACGGAAAAAGATGCATGGTCCATCGTTTAATTTTGATCTATCTTTCACGCTAGTATGCCGAGTACATTAGCGCCTGATCCAATCAGGGTTCAGTCATGCGTTTGGTGTCTATTCTGAACTGATATAAATTGCATGGCGGTAACATCTATCTTTCTATCTAGCGCATTATCCAATTAGAGATAAATCCATATATCGGCGTTAAAACAGTAAATGGAAATATTTACTTCTACTGAAACTATAGTGCTTTAAATATTGATGTATTGATTTTCATCAATGTAAATCAAAACAAAAGAACAAACTATTTTTTTAGTTCTGACTCTGATGCCTCTGTTGAATATAACTCAAATTCTGGAAAGGCTCAAACAATTCCTATTTCCAATCATAACTTATCAGAAAAAATATTCAACAATGTAACAGGTACAATAAACTCTCGAACTTTACTCTAAATTTGATACTTCATGATACAAAATCATAAAAAAATTCAAAAAGATCAAGCAATTTAGAAAAATGAATAGAAATTTGTTGCTGCACTTTGGGGTGGGTTGATTTTTAATGCTTTGTGGAAAGATGATAAAAAATTGGCATAGCAGGTTTTTAAACCCTTTTTGATACTATTTATCAGAAATTTCATTCTTTTTCATCAAACTCAACGAAAAAGAATATAACAAAAAAGCATACCTAACATCTGGAAACAAAGAAGAAAATATATTCGCCTGTGTTCAGAGAAACATTGGAATAATTAAAATGAATTTTACAGAACGACGAAGAATGGATTCCAGCTGTGAGAGAGAAATTAACAAATCCTCGATTAGAAAACATCCGGACCATATTCTACTCGGCAGACGATCCAGTCAGGATAATCCAGAACTCTATGCTGGGATTGAAGTGATCCGTAATCCACTCGTGAACAATGAGCAGCGCGAGATCGGCAGTTTGTCCTCACCAAACATTTTGGAACAAATCATCGGTCCGTGTTCACATCCGCCATACATCAACATCATCATCGAGACAAATCCAGCTGCTTTTCAGAAATCTGCCAAAAGAATTGAAGGAACTGCAATTACACTGGTTTATGCGAAAATCTCCGAAAATGAAAAAACTGAGAAGTTAGGTCTTCTTACAGTCCATCCTGTGTACTGGAGAGAGTTCAGGGTTCGGAGAAACAGGACTCCTCAGACCCCGGAGCAGTTACACAACCCTCTTCAGTCAATGATGTATTCCCACTTGATGTCAGTGACTTTAATGTTCACTAGCACACATGAAGGATATCTCTACCATGTACCGGGGCATATCCGTCGGCAGGGTAAAGGTGTAGGAGTACAGAAGATTGCAACATATCCATTCACGAGCCCGGTTAAATCTATTGTTCTAGAACCTTCACTTATTCATGCCTTGACAGAGACAGGTAAATACATTCTACAGAAGTTTTTCCTGTCTGCTGCCTGTTTTTTTTGTCTGCTTTCTTGACTGTTTTTTTGTTGGCTTTCTTGCTTCTTTTTTATACAGTTTAGCCCAGAACCTCGGAAATATAGAAAAAAATTATAAAATGTCGTTTTCTAAACCTACTGATAATTGAATGCTGCAGATATTTATTTTTTAGTTAAATAATTTTATGGAGTTTTGGGTTGAAAGAATGCTGTAGATATTAAGCTTTTAGTTGAATAATTTTATGGAGCTCGTTTAAACTTTTCCTGCATTTTTCATGGGTTTTTATTTATTTTTACAATTAGTGAGTTTAGGGTATGTCCGGAGTTCTGGGTTGAAAGAATGCTGCAGATATTTTTTAGTTTTTGGTTGAATAATTTTATGGAGCTTGTTTAACTTTTCTCGTTTTTTTCATAGCTATTTTTTTTACAATTTGCGAGTTTTAGGTATAATAGTATAAAACCCATTTAGTATTGTCAAAACAACAGTTGATGAATCCTTGCGGTATGTTCAAAGTTCTGGGTTAAACTGTTTTCATTGAGTTTTTTCTGACTTATTTGGCTGTCTAATTTCCTTTCTTTGTTTATGCCTTTTTTCCTGCCGGTTTTCCTGTCTGTGTTCCTGTCTGTGTTCCTTTCTTGGTTTTCCTGTCTGTTTTCTTGTCTGTTTTCCTGTCTGTTTTCTTGTCTGTGTTTCTGTCTGTTTTCTTGTCTGTGTTCCTGTCTGCTTTCCTGCCTGTGTTCCTTTCTGTGTTCCTGTCTTGTTTTCCTGTCCCTTTTTGTTTTCCTGTCTGTTTTTCTGTCTGTTTTCTTGTCAGTTTTCCTGTCTAATTTCCTATCTGTTTTAAAGTCTGTTTTCCTGACTTTTTTTTTCTCCTGTATGTATTCCTGTTAATTGTCTTTCTTTTATTCTCCTGTATGTTGTCCTAATCGTTTTCTTGATTAATTTTGTTTTCTTTTTTCTTTAATTCTTAATTTTCCTAACTGTTTTCATGTTTGTTTTGTGCCTGTCTTAGTGTTTTGTTCTGAACATTCATTTTTGATATTTCATATATCAGACTTTGTTATTTCTGATCGCATATGAAGGCTTTGAACTTTTTTTAATGAAATTTTAGCTTCATAACTAAGAGATGAGAAAACATATAGTTAAAAAAGGGGCAAAAAAGATATGAAATCTCTTACGAGGGGATCTTATTTAAAGAAAATATGTTTAATTAATATGTTGGGAGTTAAATTCTTCCAGGTGGAGAAATTATAAAACAAATATAAATTTTTCTTCAGGTTTAGAGACCTACACTCTGAGATCAGGGTATCATACTGTCAGAGAAGCAGAGGAAATTCAATTTTAATAATTTCGCTATTTTTAAAGTTTTCTTGATTCTTGTATCAACACTTTATACTTTTTCCTAACTTTGTCTATTAGAAGAAAAAATAAGATATTAAATCTTAAAAGTTTAATTTCCAAGAAGTTATTGAATCTGTTTTGTAGTTAATTGATGACATAACCAATGCATGTCCTCCGAAGAATACTCCGATCTGTTTAATTGGCCTCCGACCTTTTCTTGGAGTAAAAACTCTAGTCCTGGGAACAAATAGATTAGTTCTTCTGGCAGCTCCGTCAGTTGAGACAGGTTCACAGAAGGAGGTAATTAATGCAGGGTTTATATTTTGATAAAAAAATCTCTCTCCCTTTTTCAGAAACAGTTTTCCCCGGAATTTTGGTTTTTTATAATAGAACTTTTCTGGATATTTAATTGTCCTCTCATCCTGTGCGCTCCAGTATAAAAACGAATATTTAAAACATTTTACAGTGTCTATTATCGGACCAACGATAGACAAAAACAAGAAATCTGAATATAAGAAGCTAAACAACTTAAGTAATTATTCTAAAATCTGTAATAAATTTATTTGTCTTTTTGATTAACAATAGCAAATTCAGGATTGAATTAATGTGAATGTGGATGATGGTCATTGTTTAGTAAACATTAAGGTGACCTCAGTGTGATCATTCCTAGGTTTGGAGCTGGCATCAAAGTCGAAAAATTGCAGAACTTTTTTTGTTTGATTGTTCTTGATTTATTAGGATTGTGTACTAAACTATTTAAGGATGATTGGACAATATACTCCCTCCATATCCCGGACTCCTTGACCCTCTACCAGGACATGTTGACCGTGGCGGAGATGAATATTGAAACTCCTCATGGACATCTTCATCTTCTATCTGAAGCTCATCTAGTTCTCAGGACAGCTCTGCATAAGCTAACATGGCTTCAAGTAAATACTTTTAATTAAAAAGTTTTTTAAAAAAATTGTTTTTTTTATATTAAATCAATCTTAACCTCAGATAGCTTCTTCTTTTATTTACTTATAACTTCATAATTACCTTAAGTGCATTTGTTTTTCTCAAAGTTATTTTCCCCAAAAAGTTAGGTATGTTTGGGCGGACTGCAAAATTTTTTATTAAGGTTTCATTCACTGAATCGAGGAGATTAATTAAGTTTTAGATAAAAATATGAAAAAGGACGAAAAAAATCGCTTTTACATGTTCAAAAATCGCTTTTCGCCCTCTCTCCTGTTGTATCACATTGATTTCTAAAACTTGGTTTGTTTGTAAAGGTGATGAAACCCAATGGTGTGGAGATATCTGCTGCTGAGGTTGAGAGTGTTAAAAGTTTATATAATGAATCTTGTGTTAAACTAGCAGATCATTATCTAAACTATGAGAATAAGAGTAAATACTCATTATCCCTGCCCTACTACAGGTAGAAATATAAACCCGCATGCTAAATAATGTAAATTAAACGTAAATTAAACGTAAACTGAGTTGCATTTTCATAATTGCATGCTTGACAAGTTTGCTTATTCTATCTATCTATCTACTATGACTCCCCAATAACAAAAGTGTTTTTTTAACTTCCTCAGACCCTCTGTATTAACCACCTAATCTCTGCTCCATAACAAAAACTCTACTTCATTACTATCAAAAACCATTCTCAATTCCTCACTCAATTTGCCTAATCGAGTAATGGAACATTAAATGCGCACCCAATTTCCTTGTATTGCTAACCTAATTTTGGGTAAATGTTTACACAGACCAATCAGCAAAGAATTAACAATAAACGAGTTTTTAAAGCAATTAGTAAAATTAACCTTATCGAGAATACAAATGTAATAGATAACTCACACTCTTGTGGAGCACTTTAAGTCAAAAACCCGGATTTTTTTAACTGACCTCTGAACGACTCCCATCCCTTACTACAAATATGGATAAAACCTTCTTAATGTACAGTGAAACCCTTAATAACGAATACATCGGAAGAATTTATCAAATGTCGTCTTGACAATTTTTCAATGAGTTTTACACTATATTACGTAAATTTCAGTATTTGCGAAAATAAATAAATAACCATCAATATGCGGGAACAGTTTTAAAGAGTTCCATATAATCATTTAATTAAAAAACTAAATATTTGCAAGATTCCATTATCAGAAAGTGAAGAATACGACATTTTATGAATTCTTTCGATGTATTCGTTATAAAGGGTTTTACTGTAGTTTAAACATAAAAAGTAAACAAAGATTAAACATAACTTGGAAATTTTGAGTATACAACAATTAAACGTTATAATGTACAGAAGGAACCAAAAAACTGTGGAATAGAAGGAAATTAAGGCAATACTTAATTGTAGTTTTTCTAGTCACTTTTAAAATCATTTACTTAAGTGAAATGGGTATGTTTATACCGTACAATTTCTGTGTCTAAGATCCATTCGAATATTTTAATCATAACTTGAGTCTAAAAGTCTTCTTCCTGTTCCACAGTTTTTTGGTTCTTACTGTACTTATTTTGAACTTTCAGTTAAAATAAAAATGCTGATTATTTTTGATATGAATCTAGAATGAGTGGTTTACCTATCCTATCCGTCCTGGACAGATTTACTTGTTCATCTCCACTACAGGTATACAAGTGTACCTAAAAAGGATGATATCTGTCTTATACAAGGATTGTTTGTTTTGCATTGATGGATGTCCAGTACCTTAATAATTAATACATTGTTTTTAGCTAAATTTTTCAATTTCGACCAGATAAAGGGGTGTAAGAAGTTCTAAAATTTCTATAAAATTTGAAGCTGTTTGTAACAAATTATGTATGCTATTTAAAAAGTTTTCAGTAATTAAAATTTTAATACGGTGGTAGGCTATTATATCAATAAAATGAAGACGACTTTAGATTTTAATTTTAATTTATAACAAGGTTTAAAACAGCATGGATACACAAAACATGGAAAAAGAGAGAAACTGTCAATTTAAAAACCTTCTCTTTAATTACTTTTAAACTTGTAATTCGAAAAAAAGCCTGCTAACAAGTAAAACTTAAATAAAAAAGTCGTCTTCATTATATTGCTAAAATCGCCTACCACCGTATACATTACAACCTACAAGTACACACAATGAAAACCTTAAAACTGTGGAATAATAAGATGACTTTTACACTCAAGATATGATTTTAATTAGTCCAATGAACATTTGTAAACAGCAACTGTGCAGTCTATACAACCTATTTTACTTTAAAATTGATTTTTAAACTACGGTTAATGTTTTTTGCATTATAATATCATTAAGTATCTACATTTTACACACAAGAGGCCGAATTTAAAGAATTTTAACCCTCAGCTTAAAATTAAACCGCGGCTCAAATATGGTTGGTTCCACTTAAAATTGTATTAAATTTTTCAAGATTTAAGCCGGCGCTCAATTTTTCAATTTTTCAAGATTTAAACTCAATTGAAACCGGTTTTGGATTAATTTGAGACGCGGCTTAAATTCATTAAATTCGGAAAAAGATTGTTTAACTGTTTTCTTCTTATTCCATGGACTGATTATGGATCTCACTGTATTAGCATTGAACTTCTAGCTCATGTTTTTATGATTTAGGCGTCTGTAAAATACTTTATCCAAGAGGTAGTCTTGAGACCAACAGCACAGGAGAATATTTTAGACTCTGGTGTCACTCACAAAATCATTCTACTTTTAGGTTGTAAATAAATTCAAATATATTCAAAGTTTTAAATAATGAATTATTTTTAATCTGAGCCCGCGATTTAAAAACTTCGGCTCGAGCCGTAATTCCTTAAACCCGACTTTATGACCCAATCTTCGACCCAACTCTGACGACAGCTTGTGTCACGTGATTGACAGCTGCAAGATCTTCGGCTCGACTTAAGGAGTTAGGCCCAATGAAAATAAAACCGACCTTGGTTGGTTTTAGTGGAGAATAAGGCTCAATGTTGAGTCTTGTTCTCATAAAAACCCAGAATGCGCCAACTCCTACCATGAAAATCAACCAAATAGAATATTAAACCGGTATTTTTAAACTCAACTCTGTGGAAAATAAGATGCAGCTTGAATCCGAAATCTCAAGCCGTAAATAAGGCCCAACGACAGCTTAGACCCGATCCGTATTTTCCCGAATTTTTTAAATCGCGGGCTCAGGAAAGGATACATCCCATTAAAACAAACACACTTTTTAAGCTGTAAAACACTGCAATACAAATATTATGTAAAAATCTTGCTAATTTCACATTGATCTAATAAGTCACAGCTTGGTTTTAACTTAAGCTTGCAGATGTTTAATTTAACTTAAATTCCACAATTGTAATAACCCTTCTTTGGAGGAAAATGTTTTACGACTTAATGATAATAAAAATAATAGTTTGGTTAAAAATTCTATTATTGGACAAGAAGTATAACTTTATAAGACTGGGCAGATTTTTTTTACATTTTACAGTGACATATTAGAACATCTTTGAAAAATGATAGATGTAACGCAAAGATTTTAAACTATTGTCAGTTTTTACAGAGCAAAGCAGAAGAGCTGAGCATGCAATTACTATTTTATAAATATTTTTATTTTTACAATTACGACTAGTTTTCGAGCGCTCTAATATGTCTCAGTAACGAAGTCTATTCTAGTTTTAACCCTTTCTGCCCTTGCCAATGTTTTATCAGCTTTAAATGTTAAGGAGAAAACTGTCTTGAATGCTTGGTTCATCTTCTTCTTCATTCTTCTACTCTCAGGGAAAATCATTTAAAGAAATATATCATAATATTTATTGAAGGAATGTAGTTGTAAGTTTAAGTGACCTTTCATTTTTTAAATGACAAGTCTGATACACAAAGGTACCCTCAAAAGCCTTGTTAGTGAAGAAAAAAGAGATATTCAGATTTTTAACTTTGAAAATTGTGGTTTACTTTGTTCCAGAAATATAGTGATTAGTGAACTATTTAAGCTCTAACGATATTTTCGTCATTATTGATTACCAGTTGTAAAGGGTACTATTGTGAATTGGAGAATAAACATGCCCTTCTTTGAATTGAAGGATCCCTTCAAATTTTAACAGTCCCGTTTTTATTTCCATTTTCCAAAATTATGTTATGTTGGATACCAGGTTTTAAACTGATTTTTAGAGGGTTTAAATCAGCACTGAGTTTAGAGTTTATTGAGTCCAAGCTGAGGCTACTGAAGGAGGAAGAAGAGAAAGAGGAGGAGCTGATTGCTGAGATGGCTGTGGCAGCTGTACTTATTGGTGGTTCAGGTAATTTTTATTGGAGAATAAGGCTCAATGTTGAGTCTTGTTCTCATTAAAACCCTGAATGCGCCAAATCCTACCATGAAATTACCATACCATGAATATTAAACCGGTTTTTTGAACTCAACTCTGTGGAAAATAAGATGCAGCTTGAACCTTAAGCTCAAGCCGTAAATAAAGCCCAACAACAGCTTAGACCTGAGCCATATTTTCCAGAATTTTTTAAATCGCGGGCTCTTGTTACTAGAAATAATCTTTGCTTAAAGTATGCATTAAAGGACGTGTTGTCTCCAGAAATAAAATAATATGAATACAGATTCTAGAGGTCATAATGAGCTGCCTATGAGTATTTAGGTACTAATGCATATTTCTTGATTATGAACAACGAAACAAAATTTTGTTGTTCAGGAACTTGGTTAAATCTGGTTCCTGTGGTTCAACTTAGTTCGACTCTTCTCAAGTATCATGAGCTTCTTCTTGACCAAACCCAGGTATTTCCCTTCCTACCCCTTAAATTTTTTATAACTTTGAGATGGAGCTGAGAGATTTTTCGGGGAAAAAATTTGAAATCCATTTATTTTGTCCCAAACGAGGTGTCAAGTATGGGTAATGAAATTTTTGTAAACTACCACCTTTCAGTCACTAAAGTGTTTTATTATTCTTGATTTGCCTTTTTTCATCTGTTATCTCTCTGTCCACTACTCATCCTAAAACAAGTGAAGAAAAGGAAATATCTAAATTCTAAAATTTTTAATCTTTTTTTTTTAATGCTTCATCCTTTTATTATTTAGAATGGTCAGGATTGTCTTTCTGACCTTGCATTAGCGCTACGGCTAGAGGTTCCAGTCGTCTTCACAGAAATCTGTGTTAGTCTCATAGAATCCAATATCTGGAGCTTAGGACAAGTAAGTAGATACAATTTAAACATTTTTTTGTGTACCAATTCCATTGAATTAAGGCCCTATGATACGAAAATAGGTTAAAATTCATTTACATTTCACAGTTGCTGCATTACATGATTAGATTTAGAAAAATTTCCTATATTTTAAATGTTTGTAATAAATCCAAGATTTTGAGGAGAGGAGTGTACAAGGACTTAGCCTCCCCTCCCCTGGAATGTCAAAAAATATTTTTATGGCTTGATCTTCAGGTTCTTCAGCTGCTTCTACAAACCTTTATGTCATTTGAGAGCAGCTCTACAGCAGCTGACAACGCTGCTGTTCTTCAGCTGTTCCTGGAAACCTACTTCATGGAGCTTCTCAGTCAGAGGCAGCTTCTCATGGATGTTGAGGTACCACATTTTAACAAATATTTTCGAAACTTGGGGGAGGTGGAGGTCAGAGTGCAAGGGGGATTAATAAAATATTGATATAATAGAAAAAAGCTTGAAAATTTTATAACCTTTCATTGGCTAAATTTCTAAAAAAATGTTTTTCGTTCTTGCTCTTGCTCTTGGAGTTTAACTGAAATTTTTTCTCGCTAGGATCTTGTTTTAACTGGAGACCAACAGCAGGCCCTTCTAACTCTTCTCAGATCCTACTTGGCCAGCCTGACCTCTCATTCTAGCCGGGCTGGTCACTTCAGTCCACTACCTAGTATACCAGCTGATAATCTACCATTGGCATGTGAACCAGGTTAGACATTTTTGCCGCTTCAAATTTAGAAAATCATAAATTTTATAATTCTATATTTCTAGGAGAGTTTTTTGGTTCAAGGGAAGAGTTTTTAGAATTACTTCCTCCTTATTCATCAGGTAACATTTAACTTGTAATCTTAATTTCTGTAGGATCCAATATGGATTGTAGAATTTTCTTTCTTTATTTTTGTAGGATCCAATATGGATTGTACAATTCTATATATGGATTTCTGTGGGATCCAATATGGATTGTAGAATTTTCTTTCTTTATTTCTGTGGGATCTAATATGGATTGTATATTCTCTATCTTTGTTTCTGTAGGATCTAATATGGATTGTACAATTTTCTATATGGATTTCTGTAGGATCCAATATGGAGTGTAGCATTCTCTATATGGATTTCTGTAGGATCTAATATGGATTGAATTCTCTATATGGATTTCTGAAGGATCCAATATGGATTGTAGTATTCTCTACATTGATAAGGATTAAATCTGGAGTGTACTAAGATATTATTTTCTTTAGACCCCAAGATGGATTGTAGTTTTCTTCTAAAACTGGAGTCTCTGCTATGTTCTCCACTTTGCAACCAACTATGCAAAGATACTGTTGCAAGGTAGAGGCTAAAAAAACATATTTATAAAAGGTCTTTAATGCAACCTAGCGGGGGGGGGGGAATATCTTTCATTCCTTTTTCCTCGGCAAAGCAAACTTTTCTAAAAATTTCCAATTTTTTTTCTATCTTAACCGAATCTTTTTTTATGCTTATTGCTCACAATTTAATTTTTCAATATACCAAAAAAGATTTATTAAGTTAAATGTATAATTACCATCTGATCTATGATGAAGAAAATGAGCTAATTTTTGTAAGTGAGTAGGGTTGGGATTCGTTTACAATCTTTTTTGTATTGATGATAACTCTCTAGTCTCTAGGTACCTGGATGAGCAGGAAGGATTTAATAATGTTTCGCTAGGTACCTGGATGAACTGGAAGGATATGATTATTAATTATATTTCTCTAGGTACCTGGATGAAAAGGAAGGATATAATCATTAATTTTATTTCTCTAGGTACCTGGACGAGCAGGAAGGGACGGAAAGGTTTATTTCTCTCCGGGTTCTCTCCTGCCTGGATCCAACCATATCAGTCCAGCTCATTCATGAACATGCCCCAGGTAGTTTCAGTTTCAGAGAAGGGGGGGGGTGTCAAACCCCCCCCTTTCCTCCTTTCTTTCATTACCTTGTGTACACTGTACACTTATTATTATTATTATTTCAAGAATTGAAGAGTATTAACCAAGATCGGAAAATATTGTCAACAAAAAAATCAATTATAATGTGATTTGTACCATTATTATTGTACCAGAAGATTGTAATTTCCCTAGCTTTTGTTTCGGATACTTCTCTACGACCCTCTGCTTCTCAACTTTTTAAAAGAAATTTTTGTATTTTGTACAATGTGCAGGGTGTCCCAAAAAACATGGGAATTCAGTGACGAATTCGATATCGTCTTTGTTATGAATTAGCATTGTAATACCTAATTTCAAAAGCCATAATATAACTATGTATGCTAGAGTTTATTTTATGAAAACGGTAAATGGCTGTAAAGATGTGTCAATAATGTATCCGCAAGATGAAGAGTGAAGATGGATAAGTTTACTCTGTTTGTATTCTGCAATTTTCTTGTTTTACTAAGTGCAACCGTAGGCACAGTCAAATCATAAACAAACAAAATGTGAACATAGCAGACAAAACTCCTACAGATTTCAGCTTTCTCAGTAGGTATCACTATAATAAATCAAAGAATTATTTGAAAAGACGATATCGAATTCGTCACTGAATTCCCATGTTATTGGGACACCCTGTACAAGCTCGGCTCAATCTTAACTGATATATTGTATACCCCTAGATGAAGATCTAGCACTTGCGTTTATTATCATTATTTCATAAGGTTGTTTACAAGCGTACTGCGAGTACAACAGTAAAAATATAGAAGTATGGAGTACAGCAGTAAACTTGTTGTACAGGGATACAACTAAGGTCAGTGTACTGTTTGATTTTAAAAATTTAATCTAAGAGACTGAAGATAACTAAAAAAGAGGTTTAAACAAATATTAGTGAGCACCTATTCACAATAAAATCTATAAAACCATTTAATTTCTACGGAATGATGGTTGGTTGCTTATTGCTGAGATTTATTTGTGCTTCATGTCATTAATCATTATAGATTTTTTAATGAAAATCTTCCCCTAACTTCCTATACCCTTCCCTAACTTCCCCTGCCCTTCTCTAACTTCCCCATACCCTTCCCTAACTTCCCCTACCCTTCCCTAAATTCCTCTACCCTTCCCTAACTTTTCTACCCTTACCTAACTTCCCCTACCCTTCCCTAACTTCCACTACTCTTCCCTAACTTCCCCTACCCTTCCCTAAGTTTCCCTACCCTTCCCTAACTTCCCCTACCCTTCCCTAACTTCCCTTACCCTTCCCTTACTTCCCTTACCCTTCCCTAACTTCCCCTACCCTTCCATAATTTCCCCTACCCTTCCCTAACTTCCTCTACCCTTCCCTAACTTCCCCTACCCTTCCTGAACTTCTCCTCTACCCTTACCTACCTTCCTTTTTTCCCCTACTTTCCCTTTCCTAGTTTCACAATCTTCCTCTTTCCCTCCGAATCAACCCTCTTTTTTCCCCTTCCATACATTTCCCCTTTCATACCTCTACCCTCCTTTACATTTCCCCTCCTCTCTCTTTTTTCTCAAAATGAACATGAAAATGAATGTATTTTAATTTGTTCGATTAATATGGTTCTAATTTTAGGAGAACGAGTTAGTTCTATTATCATTACTTGAGTCTATGGGCCGGTAAGAAATCTTATTGCTTGATTTCTTTTGTTAAATAAAAACTTCAAAAGTGAAATAAATGATAAATCAAAATTTTATTAAGGTTGTTTCCGCCGGAAGTGCTGTTGGATTGCTTACCGGAAGGAGAACACTACAAGGATATCCTTTTTCAAAGCAGGTGTGTGCAAAATGCGTAGTTGGANTGTATCCTGTATCCAGTATCCTGTATCCTGTATCCAGTAATCCTGTATCCAGTATCTTGTACCCCTGCCCTGGAAAAATTTCTGACTACGTCCCTGAATAGAGTGTACACTGTTAAACGGGAACAGTAAAGGTTACAGTGTAGGAACGGACTTTAAAGCGTCTTGAAGTGTATTCTTCAGTATGTACTACACTATATTTTCTTGAAAACTTTTCCGATTCTTATACTCAAAATATATGTTATCGTCCCAAACAAAACTGAGTCAATGAAATATACACCCGGCCCTACTTTGCCGAATATTTTGTAATTTTAGAATTTATTGTTGTAGGAGAAATCAGCAGGCTGATAGACTTCAACAGCTGATAGTCACGTACAGTACTGTTGCAAAGCTGTAATTGTGTAGTCCATACATTCTTCTTATCAGTTTTAATCACTTTTTTTCTTCTTTTTTTCAGACATTGAAAGCAATGTTAAAACATTTGCTGATATTGATCAATGTATTTTCTATTTCATTGAAGAAAAAAACGCTAAACGGCAAAATAATAAAAATAATAATTTAAATTTTTTGGCATTTTCCTTTCAAAAATAAGAAATAAGAAAGAATTTAAACTGTAGATGGGGAATTTAGTATTGTTGGGGGAAGAACGACAAGGGAATTTGACTTGTCAGCTGTTATAACGGCAAAACACTTTAGTATACTCCATTTTAATATATGATTTTTCATCTGAACTGTTTTCAGACAAAAAAGCACGGCAAATATGAATTAGTAAAAATTTTAAGTAATTTTGTGTCCACACTTAAAAGCACTCAAATACTATAATATTTACATTTATAAATTTTTTTTTTGCAAAAATCTTCTAAATCTTAATTCCTACATGTCCCCCATCGCTACAACACAGTTTCACAAAATACTCAAACTCTCGCAGAAACACAATTTATGTTTTTTCACGGATTATTAATATTGTTCCTTTGATGATACTCAACAATTTACAAAAATTAGATTCTCATAACTTTTTTGTAATTATAGTTTTAAAATTGAATTACCAAAGATTTGTTTATAATGTTCTTGACGGTTTGTCTTTCAGTATCTTTTACTAAATTGTGATTTTAAAAGAATTGTTTTATATTAATATAATTTTATTGTTATTTATTTTACCCTGATTAAATATGTTTCTTTGCTTGTTATATGTATACATGCTTTGCAGCTTACTTTTTCAGATACAATGTGGAATTGATATGTACATAGTGTATATATCAGGCCTGTCTATGTACATTTTACAAAAAAAAATTTGTACTGTATAACCTCGTGATAGTTTTTGTGATAAACGATGCAGATGATTTGCCATGTAAACAGCTCCCGAACTGGGCACGATAAACTAGGAAATCTTTTGACTTTGTCTTCATGTTTTTCCATAGATTCAATTCATAGGTTAAAATCCGGTAGTTTTCCATTCAGATTTTAGTGACTTTTTTTTCTGATAAAATCGATTATATTTTTTGATTGATTGTTAAAAAAATTGCAGATTTTTTGATTATTTTATTTCATTACCTGTTACCTTTTATCTATTACCTATTACCAACTACTCAATTTTTTAATGCAAGGCATGAACTTAAAAGTAAAAGTTCAAAAATAAAGAAAAATGTTCTGAATAAAATAAAACATGAGTACTGCAACACTGATCATTTCAGAGAGTAAATGATATTCCGTCCTAAAATTCTTGTTTTAATATGAACCTACATGAATATTTTTAGACTTCGGGATTTAACGAACAATTTTGCATGATAAATAACAGGCTTTTGATGAAGGAATGTGAAATGATGAATGAAAACTTTTATTTTATTATTTTTTCTTGTTATTTAAATTAGTAATTTTTTAAAAGTAGATTAATATGTTAAAAATGAGTTTGAATAATTTGCATTGAATTTGATTTGTTTATAATCAATATTTGTAAACAGTCCGACTTCTGCAGTACACTTGTAAACTCCTGGTTAACTGGAGCAATGATGCAAGGAAATCATGATTAATCAAATCTAAAATGATTTTTTTTTTCGAGAAATCTTGCAGTTGAAAGAAAGGTTGTTGGTAGATCGCCTTATATAAAAAAGCAAAGATTGTCAAATTCTTTATCTTTATGAACATTTTGCTATTATTTTTTTTATGAGTGTTACTTCTAATATAAGGTTGGCAAATGTCGGTAATTATTTCAAAGATAAACACGATATTAAAGTCGTCTTTAAATATCATTTTTTTTTTGACACATTCTTTGATTTAATTTTTTAAAATTTAACGAAACAGTATATTGAGATTATCATCCTCCCCCAAAAAATATGCTTGAAAGACTTATTTCTTATAAACTTGAGACAGGATCGAATTAATTTTTTCCATCATTATATTATTCGTTGTATTAATAGCATTATTATTATTATTAATGTTGATATTTGAGATTAAGTGTGATTTAGTGGATTACACCATTTGGAGAGTACACTAGGTTCTGCGAGGAAACTTCTTAGGTTTCAAAATTTTAAGCTTTTCTTGACTTGCCGGGGAAGTAACCTTTTTACTCAGAATGAGAGATAAAGCTTTAAAAAAACTGATATCAAAAGATCTTACATTTTTTGTGAGAAAGAAACGAATGTTGCTTAAACTTTTATACATCAGATCTTAGAAAGCATATTCAAAATTTTTAATTTTATCGTATTGTACTTTATAAAAAGATTATTAAAAATACATCCGACCCAATCTTAAAAAATATTTTAAGCAGAAATGACGCAATAAAAATGAAAATATGAAACAGGTTTGGGACGTTTTTTGAGTCCTTGGAGGCGGCTGGGAAAGCTTTAAACCACCGTGATCCAGTGATAAGGTAAATGCATGGAAATTTGTTTATATTTTCAAGAATTGCTCTCCCCCCCCCCACCTCCATCCACCACCCTAGAAAACAAATTTAATTTCCATTCAATTTGGTGAACTTATCCATAGAAATATTCCGCAGCGTGAAAAATTATATTAAAGTGTTACAAATTCAAAATGTTACAGAAATGAAATGTTACCTTAAGACAAATGTCTAATTTAGGTTTTAGTTACGTCAAAAAATTTATTAATATTGGCTTTATTCATTTTTTTCAAAGGGATGGCATAGATATACTGCTATATTTTAAGTTACCCTTCATTTTTAGAGTAGCATTTTCAATTCACACCGAAATCAATGAACCTGCATCTGACCAATAATGAATGTCTCGAAAAGTGATGAATTTTGACAAGTTCATTTTATTGACTTAGCTGCTATAAATTTGCAGACCTCAACTCACTAATAATGAGATTCCCTATGGAGGGAAACTGACCAAACTTTTGAGGGCACCATTCACCATTGCGATGTGAATTGGACATGCATTCTAAAAATAAAGGGTCAATTTAAGCTACGTGTACAGTCCCTGCATGCATTTAATAATTTAGAATGAGCACCGCTTTATCGAAATTGTGCAATGCCGTGTTTCTCTTTACTGATCATCTGATCTGGCTTAATTCAGTCAGGTAAATAATCGTCTTCCTTAACTTATTTGCAGTGTCATTTTGTTCAACATCAAAAGCATTGTTATAACACTTTCCAATGTGTATTAACTACAAATGTATTTCTACTATTGAAAAAAAATAAAAAAAATAAGTAAGTGATTTAGTCCCAACATACAGTTTAACACAGAACTTCGGAGTCTTAAATAAAATGTATAAAATGTCGTCTTGACAATCTTTTAATGGGTTTTATACTGTTATATCTAAATCACAATAATTGTAAATATAAATACATAGGCATAAATGTGCGGGAACAGTTTTAAAAAGCTCCATATAATTTTTCAATAAAATAAATACAGGGTGTCCCGCGAAACATGACAGTATGCAAGACGACTTGAATGTCGTCTTGATTTTTAATATAATTTGCTTATTTGTCAACCTAATTTTAGAAGTAAATTTCTAGAGATAATAATCACAAAATTCCCCTAGTCCTGCCATTTCCAAAATGTGGTCTGCCTTTTTTGTGCTTTCAATATTGCCCGAGATATGAAGAATTTCGTTCAGATTTCGACAATTTTGCTTTTATTTAACAAAATTGAAATCTGAACCAAACTCTTTATATCTCCGGTAATATTAAAAGCACAAAAAACGCAGACCACATTTTGGAAATGCCAGGGCAAGGAGAATTATGTGATAATTGTTTCAAGAATCATACATGTTAAAGAAGATACAGGGTGTCCCAAAAAACATGGGAATTCAGTGACGAATTCGATATCGTCTTTGTTATGAATTAGCATTGTAATACCTAATTTCAAAAGCCATAATATTATTATGTCTGCTAGAGTTTATTTAATGAAAAGGGTAAAAGACTGCAAAGATGTGTGTATAATATCTCCGCAAGATGAACAGTGAATACGGACAAGTTTACTCTGTTTGTATACTGTAATTTTCTTGTTTTACTAAGTACAACCGGTTGCAGTCAAAACATAAACAAACAAAATTTGAACATAGCAGACGAAACTCTTACAGATTACAGCTTTCTCAGTAGGTATCACTATACTAAATCAAAGAATTATTTGAAAAGACGATATCGAATTCGTCACTGAATTCCCATGTTTTTTGGGACACCCTTTAGAAGACTAAATGTCACAAATAAATTCAAATATCAAAGACGACTTTCAAGTCGTCTTGCTATTGTCATGTTTCGTGGGACACCCTGTATCTGCAGCAGTCTATTATCAGTAGGTTTGGAATGCCCCATTTTATGAATTCTATCGATATCTCCCAAGTTCTGGATTAAACTAAAAACTAGGCTCCCAAGGGTGCTTTTTTAAGTAATAATATGTAATTTGGACTTCTTTACAGTGAGACCCATAAAACTGTGGAAAAGGAAGATGACTGTCGTTCTATATATCAACTACACATCAAATTCCTATTATTATAATACTATTCCACAGCTGTGGGTCTCATAGGGTTTCCACGAAATGGCTAAATTTTTTGCGCAAAATTTGCGCTATTTTCGCGCAAAAAACTTGAGTTTCGCAAAAGCGGAATAGGGCAATTTTGCGCGAAATGACTTTTGCGAATGATTGCGCAAATTGTTGTTTTTTCGCGCAAAATTGATGCGCAAAGAAAGAAAAATATTGAGTTTCGTTCCGCAAAAATTGCGCAAAAGTTTTGCGAATGGAAACCCTAGGGTCTCACTGCATTAACTCATAGTGTGGTGGGCGATTATATCAATATATGGAAGACGACTTTCGATTTTAATTTGATATATATATCAAGCTTTTAAACAACATAATTACACAAAAATATGGAATCAAAGTGAAGCTATTAATTAAAAAAGCTTCTCTATAATTACTTGTAAACTTGTAATTCGGAAAAGGCTTGCTAACAATTAAAACTTAACAAAAAAGTCGTCTTCATTTTTTGATATAATCGCCGACCACCGTATTTGCCAGGAATTTCCTATTCTGGCTTTAAATTGTAAATTGCGAACAAATCTTCAATTAGAATGGTGAACTTAAGTAGAAGCAAATGGTCTAAAATCTCCATCAATGCTTGGTTCTACTCAGTACTGTTTAGCCTAGGTAACATTTCTTAAAGGGACTGTAAGCGTAAGTGACTCTCCATGCCAAGATTACATTGTCCGATTCTCAAAGTTACTTTTAACAACTTTGTCTCATGAAATATGATTTGGAAATCAAAGTTTATAGCATTGAAAACTTATAAAACTTTTAATTGTGTTCTCACTGCAAAGTTACTTGCGTATTTCTACTAAAGGAAAAAATAAAGCGATTGCCAGATAAATATGCCTTTAAGCATAGAAAACGACAATATTTTCCACAATATTGATCAGATAAAGGTTTCAAGGATATCGTTGTGAATCGGGCATTGTTAGCTTTTAATAACATCTGGTAGCATTTTGTCAAGTTTAGGTAACACTTTTTAAAGTTTATATAACATCTTGTATAGTTTATGTAACATCTGGTTTAGTTCAGTTTAGGTAATATCTTTGTTAATTTAGGTCTTATCTTTTTTAGTTTAGGTAACATATTTTTTAGATTAGGTAACATCTTGTCAAGTTCAGGGAACATCTTTTCAAGTTTAGGTAATATCTTGTCAAGTTTAGGTAACAGCTTGTCAAGTTTAGGAAACATCTTGTCAAGTTTAGGTAACATCTTGTCAAGTTTAGGAAACATCTTGTCAAGTTTAGGTAACATCTTGTCAAGTTTAGGAAACATCTTGTCAAGTTTAGGAAACATCTTGTCAAGTTTCGGTAACATCTTGTCAAGTTTAGGAAACATCTTGTCAAGTTTAGGAAACATCTTGTCAAGTTTAGGGAACATCTTGTTTACTTTAGTTTAGGTAATATCTTGAATAATTTAGGTCATATTGTTTAGATTAGGTAACATCTTTTGAAGTTTAGGTAATATCTTGTTAAGTAAGTTTACATTATTTAATCTTTGCTTTGCCTGAGTCTTAATTTAATGAAATTGAGCCCAATTTCAAATTCGCCAAAAACCGGTTTCAATTGAGCGCCGGCTTAAATCTTGAATCATTGAACACACCTTTAAGAGGAACCAACCATATTTGAGCCGTATATCAAATTTAAGCCGCGGCACAAATTCTGTAAATTCGGCCTCTGGTAGCAAAACTTTCCTTTAAAAAGTCAACAAACTGAATTTAGAATTTCTATATCAAGAAAGGAACATTTCTGTGGTTCTCCCGAATTCACCTTACAAACTTTGAGGAAAATTGGTCCAGAGGTTCCAGAGATATAATCGAACATACAAACAGACAAACAACCATGATGATTACTTTATATATCTATAAGGTATCAGATATATAATATTTCTAGTTTGTGATCTATACAAGCTGAAATCCATTGTTGAAGAATATTCAAGAAATTGTCGAAATATTTCTCTACCATCTCTTTCTTTTCAGGTATATACATACGGTGCAGACGTCGAACTTATACAATTTGCAATTAAGATCAAATTTAAGCGTTTTATTTGAAAATTGCATTAACCCTTGTTAACCCGTAAAGATTAAATCAGAGCTGAAAACCTTTTACTTGGATACTTTAATCCGCCATAATTTCAAAATTTCTCGGATTCTGATTTGTTGAATTGTATACACTTTTCTTGATACAATTGAATTAATCTTGAGATAAGCAAAAAAGATGAGATCAAGAATTGATCTTTGATTTCCAAAATTTTAAGTTTTCAGCTCAGAAATGAGAGTAACCGTACGTCCTTGATCAATGATAACTCTTATTTAAAAAAAGAAAAACAAATTTGCAAAACAACTCTGTTGACTGAATAGTCAGCTTAGTAAAATAAGATAGATCAATAAGGATATTTCTTAACATTTATTTAAAGTAAAATGAAAATGAAAATGACAAATGTTTTAAAATATTTATTACAGTGGGGACTGATATTGGTTGGTTAAATAATAACAAAGGAACTATTGTCGAATATATGTGGTCACTTCATAGGAGCGTTGTAGAGCTTCATGTTGGTGGTTGCCGCTCCTCCCAGGCGTGGCTTTGGATTAGGGAGAGAGTTCTCGGATTTATCATTTTCGGGTTTGAGGGATTACGTGTCTCCTCTATGTTCGCATGATAAATTAGGAACTCTTGGAACATTATTGGGCTGGATGTAAGCATCGCCTGTTGCTAGCTGAGTATCTTAGTATATTAGAGCAAATATACTTGTATTATTTATCTAGGGCGTGCTTGAGGCTTATGATCCTCTATGTGGGTTTTTAATCAGCTCGCAGCGTCCTCTTCTGATAAACCTGATCAAGAATTGTTTCGATATTGTTCTTCCCCTCTCTACCCTAGGTAGGTGCAAGATAGTTTTTAGTTAAAGTGATTGTTCCCCAATTTGAAAATGTTCATAGCTGTTTGCTCAAAATATTAAATCATGGGTCAAAAGCCGTCACATTTTTGCGAGCATGTCTGAGTCCGGGTGGATTTTGAAGTGTTGCACCTCCTTGACTTTTGGGTTTACATCACTAATTCCCTTATTCTTTTTTTTGTAGCCCTAGACATGTACATTTTTAAACTCAAACTGCTTTAGTTCAAAAGAATTAACTGGTGAAATGATCAAATATTTTTACGTGAGAGCGAGAACTGTGGAACCAGTAGATGGTAATAAGGTTCTTATAGACCTTACTTTACTCTATTAAACGACAATCGACGACTTTTAGTTTAAGGCCCGGGCCTTGGAACAATTCTAAGATATCTTTATTTTTAGTTCTTAAAATTCTACCTCATAAAATATTGGTCTATATTAGAACTCAAATTGAATATAAATACTTAGTGTGTACATTGACTATACTCTCATATTTTTCTATCCTCTGTTGTCTAACAATCAATAAGTGGATTTATTTTATCTTGGTGAAAACTCAGAGAAATAGATTTGAACGTGCATTTCAAGTTTTCAACCCATGGTTAAATATAGAGTGCCGGGTTGAGACATGGCAATCCTTTTATAACCTCTAACTCGCGCACACTGCAAAACGTTTTATTTATAGTAAGGGTATCTATATATAGATTTAGCTTGTCTGTCTAGGTTTTTGTTTGTTTGTATCCAAAAAAAGTTAAAGCGGCTAAACTGATCCGGAATGCGCAAAAAAAATATTATGAAATTTTTATTTTTTTATATACTGTACAAAGAGAAGATGCTCAAAATTAAAGCTGCTCACAAATAAAGCCACAATTAAAAGTTGAAATAGAAGATGGGCAAGCGCCCTAAAAGCCTAGGATAAGAAAGTTGGTTCGCATGAATACTTTGTCTCATGATAAATTTTATATTATTTCTATTTTCGATTATCAATATCATTTTTAAATATTTTTAAAATACAATGTTGCAGCCTGAGCAATTGCTGTTTATTTTGTTTGCTTACAAAAACTAGGTCTAGATTCACCATGATACAGTCACAGCAGAATGAAAAGAAACCTTAAACCATCATTGGAATAATATATTATAGGATATGTGAAGAGCTCCAGTTTATCTGGTTTATGTGGAATTATCTCCACCTCTCTATCTATACTTCCTCTTCTTCCAGCAAAATAGGCAGCTCCGACATGTACAGTACATAATGAGACTTTGTACAATGGTGTACGTTCACTGTATGATGTACTAACATTTTTAGGGATTTGTAATTTTTAATGATTTAGAGAAAAAATGAAAAATTGGACATTAAAAGACAACTTTTTTATTCTTTATATGTTACTTTTTAACCGAGCATTCATTGAAAATATAGTAGTTTCCCTAATTCAGCGAAGAAATTCTGGGAAAAAAAATTTTCTACGGGATGAACAACTATTTTCGAGAAAATGCACATGAGCCGCTTTACATGGCCACGCATATGGCTCTCTAAGCGTGTACAATCCAATTACATCCAAGTATACCCTGAGGCGTACCCTTTAAGCAGTGATTTTAACTATCATGAACCCTCTTTATAGATTAATTGTTTATTTTTACTATGCTTTTTTATTCTATTGTTATTATCTTCAAATGGTTACTTAATTCATTATTAAAATGTATCTTAAATATTTTATAATTATTATTTATCCAAAGCATACACTACGTGTTTACATTCAAAACTGTGATTTCACCCTGTGATTAATTATGTGATTAATTCTGAGATAGGTATTTGAATATTTTCAGAAAGATGAATTTGAAATAGTAAAATGAACCGAATTTCAATTGTCTTTGCGCGAATGCCGCCACGCGTTCACCAAAGTTTTCGCAGATTCCATTCCAGAATTCTCAATGAAACAGAAATCAATGAGATTCACAAGATCAATGAAAATACAGGAGATCTATTTTCTATTAGGAAAGCAAAATTTAGTATCGAAGCAAAATAATCTTTTTTTTGTGGTCTTGGAAAAAAGACTAATTTTATTTTTCAATGTGGTTTACAGCTGAAGCAAAATAAAACTAGAAGAAATTCTGTAAAGTAAGTCTGAAGACTCAATTGTATGGGGTATAAATATCTGTTTTCTGTTCACCACAAGATACTTCTTCTACAGGGTTACCCACACAAAGGACCTGAGAGACGGCTGTACAGATTTCCTGTCTTTTCCTTATTCTTTCTCTTCAACTTTAAACTTGTTTCTTTCTTTAACTTTCTATTAAAAAAATCATATATTTAATTCCTAGAAGAAAATTCATCCTTTAGCTGGTCGTATTTAAGTGCTTTAGGTCGTCATTTAACTCTCATTCTTTCAGTAACCCTGCAATTATAATAAAATACACTGCTACAATTTTTTGCAAATGATCTGTAGTGACCTGGCTCGAATGCAGACTGACGTCTCTTCGTTAAAACATATTCTGAATACGGAAATTCTCAGGAGACTTTCAAAAACTATCGTAAATCTACCTAATCTGTTCAATCCAAGTATAAGGTAAGAATTTTCGTTTTGTTTTACAAAAAAAAATTCTGAGGTATTCTTACTTTTTCTCATATTTTCTTTATTTTTCATTCTTTTCTTATTATTTTCTAATTTTTCCAATTTATCCAGGAAATAATCCTTATAATTTCCAAATTTTCTTCCTTTTTTTAATTATGCTTAATTCATTTTTTAACAATTATCTTTCTTTCTTTATTTATTTCCCTAATTTTCTTAATGATCGCACAATCAGCCTTCTTGTTTTCCACTTTGCTTTAATTTTCTTAATTTTCTTGATCATCATTATTTTTTTCAATTTTTTTATTTTCCTCTATATTTTTAAGTTTTCTTAATTTTTCTCAGTTCAAGATTATAACCTTACAAAATTATAACCTTACAACATTATTTATAACCTATAAAATTATAACCTTACAACATTATAACCTTACAAAATTATAACCTTATAAAATTATAACCTTATAAAATTATAACCTTACAAAATTATAACGTTACGAAATTATAACATTACAAAATTATAACCTTACGAAATTATAACATTACAAAATTATAACCTTACTAAATTATAACATTACAAAATTATAACCTTACGAATTTATAGTATAGGCTTGAAAAGCGACTAGCCTAGACTGGATTGTATAATAAAGCAACATTGCACACTAAACTACAGTGAAACCCTTAATCACGAATACATCGAAAGAATTCATCAAATGTCTTATTCTTCACTTTCTGATAATGGAATGTTGCAGATATTTAGTTTTTTAATTAAATGATTATATGGAGCTCTTTAAAACAGTTCCCGCATATTCATGGCTATTTATTTATTTTCGCAAATACTGAAATTTACGTAATATAGTATAAATCTCATTGAACAGTTGTCAAGACGACATTTGATAAATTCTTCCTATGTATTCGTTATTAAGGGTTTCACTGTATTTTCAACGGAACTTTTTACAGTATCTTGGTTGTTTGTAAACCAATAACCTTTTATTGTTATTTTTTTTCCAGAGATCAGCGAAGTTATCAGTTTATTGAAGACTACTTCCACATGAATTTTAAAGAAATTTCTAAATTAAAAACTAGGTTTTCATTTTCTGACATTTTATATAAATTGAGAATTTCTTGGTCAAAACTTCCAGAAACAAAATTAGCAGGCGTAAGGGTATGAAATAAATTTCTTTGGGCTTAAAAACCAGGTTAATGGGGTCCCAACAAGAGCAGATGGCTTGGTATGAGATTCAATTATTTGTTAAGTAGCTTAAAAGATATTTCTTTAAAAAAATAAAGGTACTTTTAATGACAAAAAAATGATGAATCAAGGAGAATGGATGAAAAAGATTTTCTGTTTACTATAAAGCATGTAGAAATCAGGTATTATTTTCAATTGTTAAATAACAGGTTAAATTGGATTTTTATTCTGTAAATAAGATAAAATAACATGATTTAAAGTTGTTAAAATTTAGGCCTTTGTGGAAAATAAATGACTTCTGTAAAAGCAAAAATTAAGCAAGTTTAAAATATAAATAGAACAATTCAGGGGTCATATTTTTATGTTTCTAATTCTTACAAATTCGAAATCCCTTTTTTTACTGAAATGGAAGAGTGAAAATGACTGCAATGCCTGTTTTTTAATCGTGTATTATAATTTCTAGGCTTGGGGGAACAACTGAAATTATTTCAGACGCTATTCTTTCTTCAGGGATACTTTCTAAAAACGGTAATGGATACTTAATTGTGCTTCTTAAACAGGCTTCCACCCCCTTCTTTCCAATTTTATTTTTTCACATAATTATATGTTAAGTTGTTGTATTTTGAATTTCAATGAACACTAAGTAATGGCTGAATGACATATGTAACATATCATTTTTAACATTATTGTTACAGAGTTTAAGAAGTAATTAGAGGCTGAAACAATTCAGTTTTTTTATTTAATTGTTTTTCTTTTAATTTAATTATATAATTAATATCTGTTTTCAGAGGAGCATATTTGTCTTCAATCTGATATAAACACTATATTCAAGTCCAACCTATCTGTTGAAGTTTTAGGTAAATCTTAGTAAAAATTTAAAAGCTTAGAAGTTCAGAAATCTATTAACTTTTTAACGAAATTAAATAAAAACGGTCACAGAAAATCTTTGAGCTTTGCATTTATGAATATCAAGAAGTGGTTACGGTTAGTTAAACAATTTCCCTGTGCTTGTAAAATGAACTTTAGTCATCAAAGTAGAAGAATTTCAACTTCTTCAAGTTATTAATAAAATATGACCAATGATCTTGGAATTCTTGTGAATGCGATATGAGGTGCCTCATTGGGTTGCATTTCAAATCTTAAATTATTGTTTAATTGATTGATGAATGGTTTTTTTGGATGATTGATTGATTGATTGATATTAAAGTTAGCTTGGTAGTGGGTGGGCTGACCTCAAGGTTATACCTTGATCCAGAAACAGGTTTAATCAAGAATATTAACACTGCCTTCGATAATGCAAGATACTTATGCGAGCAGTATTATATCAGGTAAATGTTTCAAATCTAAAGATTTAGAAATATTAATCGGTTACCTCAATCATTGGAGGATTAAATGCAAATAAGAATATCTAAATACTTCCAGTGATTGTTGATTCAATTGAAATTATAAAGGTTGAGATTATTGAAGGGGTAATATTAATGAGCTTATGATATTAAACTCAATTAATTATTAAAATGGAATGAACTGAACATAAGTTAAACTTCTAAATCAAAAGTTTCAACTCTGGAATTAAGCCATTCTAAAGTTGTGCTTCTTCAATGCTATTTACAGAGCAAATTTACGATCAAAAGTTTTTAGTTCTTCAGAGCTGATTATAACCGGAGATGAGGAATTAAAGTTCGCCTACTTCCCTTCTCATCTTTATCTCATCTTCTTTGAAATTATTAAAAACAGCCTCAGAGCCAGGTAAAGCAGATGTTATGTCGTCTTTGTGTTGGTTTTGATCCAAATGGCGGTCATTTATATTTTTGAAATCAAATATGAGTTTTGAGTAAGATCATTTCTAATAATTTGAATATTTTGCCACCAATTTTTATGAATTCATATTTAGTAAATGGCGTAATTGCTTTCAATTTAAATTAAACATGGCTGGGGCCTATTTCTGATTTTTTTTTATTTTTGCGCAGTGTGGAGCATCATGGTGAAGGGTGTGAGCATATTCCCCCTGTTGTTATTCATCTTGATACTGAAGGTAAACATCTCATTGAATATGGATTTTTTGGAAATTTTATCCATTTATTTTTTCAGATGACTTTATTGTTGTTTGCTTACAAGATTCAGGTGATTTATGATAATTATTTGAAAATTACAATTGTTTTTAGATTTAATGTAGATAATCAGATATATTTTTCCAGGTGGAGGTTACAGAAATGGTGATTTGACAAACTTATTTCAATTCTTCAGAACTAGTGCTTCAATTAATAGGTAATAGACGAACTCATTTCTGCAACCTTTAATTTGTTTATTTCAAAGTTTTTTTTTTAATTCCAATTTTTGCCTTTTTTCCTAATTTGTTTTTAGTAAATTTACCATTATTTGGTAGAAAACTGATTACTATCCTCAAACTCCAGTTTGCAACTACGATGTCTTAGATTTTTGATATTTTAAACCATAAATTCTGCTAGATATCAAACAACCAAAGTTTTAAACGTGAAAGGTTTGCACCACCAGGTTTCAAACATTGATGTAGGAATAAAATAAATCCGTTTCTTTTATTCCATATGTTTAGTATGAGCTTATACCAAGGAGCACATAGTTCTCCCTTGGCTGGCTATGGCTTTGGACTAGGTAACATTATAAAAAATAAAATTGAAAATAAGCTTCACTAACTTCTTAAGAACAAAGATAACTACTTTTGCTGTTTAAAGTATGTATCTTTTCATCGTCAAAGATAATTAATTTTTTGCAATTTTTATCAATTATAATCTGAAAGGGAAAACAGCTAGACAACTAACAAATTTTGTATAATTCTTTCAGGAATGGTTAAGATTTACTTAGAACAATTTAGTGGACAAATTTTGCTTGAAAACACTTCTGAAGGAAAACACTGTTTTAGATTTCAAATATTGCCTTGCAGTAGAGTAAATATTAAGCCATCGTTTTATGAGAGCAAATGTACATCGCAAATCTGAAGGATAATAAATTTATGTGTGCAGTCCTATACAGAAACAACAGATGAACATTATCAATTTTCAGTTGGAAAACAAAGAAATATCATACATTTTTGCTAAGATTCTGATATTTATGTTACAGTCGTAACTCTGGCATAAAACTTTTTAAATGTAGGTTTATCGACCTAGGCTTAATAGTTTGACTAAAAAGTGCTAATGCAGGGATGATTGTGAAGTTAAAATTTAAACTCTGTCCTGATCAAGCATTGGAAACAAAATGATAACACTCCTGTATGCCGAGTCCATTAGCGCCGGATCCAATCAGGGTTCAGTCATTTGTTTGCTGTCTATTCTGAACCAATAGAAATAGTATGACGGTAACATCTATCTTTCTATCTATCTCATTATCCGATTAGAGTTATGAATCCTTCAATCGGCGCTATCAGTAAATGGAAATATTTACTTCTAATGAAACTTTATTGATAAATATACCCCATAATATTAAAACAATCAATAAATCACCAAATGAATTGATAACTAGTCAATTGTAACCGAAATATATGTTAATTAAATTTCTAATACATATATAATTGTTGCGGAGAAAGAACTAAGTTCTTACCACAAACTTCAATTTTGTAATCCCTTGTCTAGTCACTTGAAACCCGGCCGAAATATATGTATTAAAAATGTTAATTACATTTCTAGACAAGAAAATTATTGTGGAAAAAGGAACTAAGTTCTTACCACAAACTTCAATTTTGTAATCCCTATTTCTTTGCAACCTTAATCCTTTGATATATTTTAAACTATGAATTCTTTTTCATCAAATAGTAAATAGTTTTAAAAGTCAAAGGTTGTTAAGATATATATGTAGGAATTAAAAATTTGAGTTCGTGGAAAGAACTCAATTTATGTTAATTATTTTTAGTAATAGTACCTGACTTTAAATTAGTATTTATAAGAAAATTTCAGATAAAATGAACTTTAATTCAGAACTGGAGCAGAACAGGCATATAGGAGAGGCAGATATAAGGTTTCAGATATTTTTGAAATTTTTCTTTCATATTATACAGTCATACTCAAAATCAGAAAGACCCGGAATTTATTGAAAGTTAATCGGGCGATTTTAAATATATATCTATGGCAATTTTAAATGCTCAAAAGGGGTAGACAACCTTATGGAAATGGCAGGACTAGGGATATTTAATGATTATTGTTTTATCAATCACATTTGTAAGATTAGGTTGTAAAGTCGTCTGATTAATTGTTTCCGGGTCTTTCTGATTATGACTGTAGTTGAAAAATATTGTATTTCAAGTGACATTAAAAAGTCTCAACACCTGATTCACAACGGTACCCTCTTAACATTTATCTGAGTTACAATGTGAAAGATTTTATCTTATTGAGAAGAGATAAATTTTGTCAATTACCTTTCTTGTCATAATGTCTATGGGCCCAAAGAGTATCGTTGTGAGTTCGGCATGGATCTCTGTTTACAGAGATTCACTTAAAATTACACTGACTGTCTCTATTATTCTTTTTGTTTAGGTTTGAAAGTTTGACTTTGGTGCAAATTATCCCTGTGGAGCTACTCAGTGAGGAGCAAAGAGATACAACTTATATAGTTGAATCTGAAGCAGAGAAGGCTGAGGAAGAGGTGTGTGATGATGATCAAGCTGAACCTGCTAAATCAACTGAAACAAGTCTTCAGCCTTTAAATTATAAGGAATTATATTTAAGTAAAAATAATTTTTAGTAAACTAGGGCTTTTTTGCCTAGCTTTATAAGGAGCTTTCTTCTTTTTTTCTTCGTCATTATAAGGAATAAAACTAAACAATCTTGCATATTTACCGTTTCTTCTACCTTGAAGGCTGGGTCCAACACAATTTGGCTTCATGGATTCATTCGTTTTGGCGATTTTTTTATCTAAAATAAAAGAAAAGAACAACGCCAATATATACGCTCAGACAAAAAATTAAATATAAAATTTAAAGGATCTCAAAATGGAAAACGGAAGGTTCAAATGCCCCTATTGTGTAAGAAGTTATTCAAAGAAATATATAGGTAAAGAATTAATTGATTAAACAGAATATTATATTTTTTTGCATCTTGAATAAGTACTTTTTAGTTCCAAGACACATAAAGCTGTTCCATGAGCAGAAAAAGGTGACCTGTCCCACATGTGGAGCTGATGTTAGGAAATAAGAAACATAGAACTACATAAAGTCCCTTAAATCTCATTTGGCACTAAATCTCTTTTGGCCCGAAATCTCATTATATGGTGATAAAAAACACACCTCAGGTGCAATGTTTTTGCTACTAATTTCTGCTTTGATTTTTATATCTGTTCCTTTGTTCTGCTATGATTTTAACATCTTAACAATCATATCCTTAAAAATGAAATGAAAAAACATTAATTTTTTTCTTCTTTTTTTGATGGCACTGAAAAGATCTAAAATGAGGAATATGTAAAACGTATTTATCTCGAAAAGCTGGACAGAATTGACTGATTTTTTTTTCAAAATAGAATTTTTTCTTTTTACATTTTTTTTCAACTTTGTTTAATTTTTTTTTGAATTTCACGGGCTTCGCCGAGCACTTGCTAGTTTTATACAAAGATGACATTTTGAAAAGTTTTAAATTTCTTAAACTCAGAAACCTGGCTCAGCATCAGAAAATGCAGCACTCTCACAGTTCTTCAATAAAATGTCTAGTATGCCTTCTTATTCTTCCTTCAAAATACAGTCACAGAACACATTGTCAGGAAATGTACTATTTGTTCCAGACAAATGATCCTTTGGCCAGATTTTTTATGTGAAAGTGTTCTGCTGGAACTCAATATACGTACCGAAAACCGTTAGTTTAATCCAATTTAGTTCCTAATCTGAGAGGAACAGCTGACTTTTATTTAGAAATTTTTATGGACCGAAAAAATAATTAAGGCGTTTGATTAATAATGGCATTCCGATACCATAATACTCCTGGGTAAATGAAAAGTAGAAGTATTATAAAACTAGAAATTCAAGGCGCTTCGCGCCCTTCTTTCTAGCTTTAGAGGGCGCTTCGCGCCCATCTTCTAAATTAATTGTGAACATGTTCTCTTTGTGTACATCGTATAACAAAACAAAAATAATTCGCGGATTTTTACAAAAAAGTTCGCGGATTTTCAAAATTTTTAAAAATATTGAAATTTTGATTTTTCATAAACCTTCCCTGGGGTCCCAAGATGTCCCACAAAAAATTTGGGCCCGATCGGTTCAGCCGTTTTGACGTTTATTGGATACAAACAGACAAACAAACAGACAGACAGACAAGCCAAATTTATATATAGATTACAAGATTACTTCTGTTTCGACCAAAGGACATTGTCTAAAATTTAAATATTGGTTTACTGACAGGAGGTACATGGGGATATTTGTACACCTCACACAGAGGTTAAGAAGATGATATGCCCAGTTTGCCAAATTAAGGTAACAACTCACTGCATGATATATATTTTCTTTAACTTCTCTCCCTTTTTGTAATTAATTAAGTAGTAATCTCAGTTTGCCTGTCTTAGTGTCTGTCTGTTTATTTGTTTGTTCTGTCCGCTCATATCTTGTGCACCCCTGGACCCATTTACCATAAACATGTATTTGGAAACTCAATAGAAACCAGGGGAACGTACTAAGCTTGGTTTAAAAATTTTAAGTGGATTGGGTCGATTTTTATAGTCTAGGCAAAGCCTGGTTCCTTAGCTTATAATATGCTATAAAGTTCTCAGACATGCCAAATATATATATATATAATTTAAACATAGATGTGGATGTTTTAAAAAGTAAAAACATTGTCTGAAATCTAAAAAAAAAATTCAAATTAAATCGTATATATATCCAGGTGAAGAATAAGCGATCTCTTTGGCAAGCTCACGTTTATTATCAACACATGGTTCCACAGGAAAATTATATCATATTGAATATCTATAACATGTTCATTGTTCACCCCCTACTGAAAATCAAATGCTGCAGATATTTAGTTTTCTAATTGAAACATTATATGGAGTTTGAAAAAAATGTTCTCGCATATTTTTTTATTTTTACAATTACTAAGATTTAGGTATAATAGTAAAAGTCTCATTGAAATATTGTCAAGACGACATTTTATTCATTCTTTTGATGTTTCCGAAATTCTGGGTTAATTTGTATAGTGTGTTTGTCAGTGTTGTGCTAATCACCAAAACATCAATTCAAATTTTCATTTCTCCCTAATCATATCAATTTTCAATCTCCAGCTTGCAAGTTTAAAGGGATTGTTTGCGAAAAATGAAAAGGGGTATAGGCTTACGGCGTTAAATAATCGTTTTTGATCGCTACTAGTCTTACTTCTATATGTTGCGTCTATAAGGAGAAAATTGTTAAAAACTACTTATACTGAAGAACGTAGCGTCCATCCAACTTCAGAAAGTTGCAATATACGGCTCGGATCGTAAAAAAATCAATTTAATTTCAAACAAATATCAAAAGATATTACAACCTATAGTCATCGATTATTTTTCGTCGCATTCGTATATAGTTAATATTTCATAATATTTTTCATTCGTTTTGTATACAATGCACTTAAAATGCCAAAATAGTTGGCCGCCAGATGTCTTTTCTCTCGATGCACGTGGCAGAGACACTCTAGGTAGGATGATTATTTTAGGTATCTTATATGTGAGCTAAATGAAGTTTTTTTTGATAAGTGTCTTCTGTCTGATTCTTGTGGAACATAACCTACCAGATTCTAATTCAAAATAGAACTGGGTTGTACATGTTTATTGGTATGGACCTATGATGATAAGTTTCTTCTGCCTGATTCTTTTAGTCCATAATCTACCAGTGTCCGAATTTAATGAATTTAAGTCGCGTCTCAAATCCCCCAAAAAACGGTTTCAGTTGAGCGCTGGCTTAAATATTGAAAAATTCAATACAAATGAATTAAGTCGTTGTCACAAGCTAAAATTTTCTAATCCCTATATCTTAGCAACTTGATGGTGCAAACCTTTAATATTTCAAACTTATATTATTTGATCTACCAGCCTATAAAGTTTTAAATATCTAAGGTCTATCTAGAGAATAGAAAATCTGAGTTTGTGACAAAGACTGATATCCTTTAAGTGGAAACAACAAAATTTGAGCCGCAGCTTAGATTTAAACCGCGGCTCAAATTCTTTAAATTCGGCCTCAGATTCTAATTCAAAAGAGAAATGTACAGTGTACATGTATATTGGTACGGGCCTATGCTGAACTTACTTTTAAGGTCGACAACATAAGTAGAACATATTTACCTCAAATGATGTTACTTTATATGATAAGTTTAACGGATTCAGTCATTCTTTTCTTGTCCTATTCCTGACTGTTCTGGCAGAATCTCAAAAATCCAGGATGAATTCAATCTGAGAAAACATCTCTCCAGGTAAACCTCTAAGCACTGGAAGGATTGCCGTTTTCAATACGTCTCTAAATTTTGAATTATCACTAGGGATTAAGTGATTGGTGACAATTTTGAGCAAGTAAAACCATGTATTAATTTCAAAATACAAATTGTTTAGCTACAATTCTAGTGAACAGAAAGATTGAAGACGATAATTATTCCAATTTTGTCTGTAGTTACCACGGTAGTTCCAGAATTCCTTTAAAGGAGCATGGTAGTTGAACTGAGAGTGTAGTATTATAAAATTAACTATCAGGATTCATTTGATACCTAAAATCAGTATTATCATGAATTCTTAATCTTATATCAATTTATATGCAGATCAAATGTCGTCTTTGTAATTTGTTATCAAAACTATTTAAATTATTTTAAAAGTTGGTTATGAGGCATTGGACGTTGTGTGAATGTGTTTTTTGGTGTAAGATTTTTTTGTCTTTTTTTAGAGTTCTGAAAGTATTATCAATTCTTTAGAGTTCTGAAAGTATTATCAATTCTTTAGAGTTCTGAAAGTATTATCAATTCTTTAGAGTTCTGAAAGTATTATCAATTCTTTAGAGTTCGAAAAAGGTGAATCTTGGAATAAAGACTGAGACTTCATAGAAAACCATTCGGATTTTTCAGTTTTTATTTAATGACTTCTCGTTGCTTTAAAATTGTTTCTTTCAATTCAATTAATGATTTAGTAAACCTATAAAAGACTTTATTAAAGACGACAAAATTTAAGAGCTTCAGATCATTTTGTAAGTCGCAACTTTAATGGATCCCTTGTATAAGATCTGTCACTAATCAATAATTTTATTCTGTTAAGTGTTCATAATCTGATTCCTGATCAAATACTCTCCTGTCCAACCTGCCCAGGTATAGATTTAAGCAGGAGGGATGATAGTTCTCTACCTGTGTGCTCAGTTAGCTGTACTCACTTACAACTGTTTACTAATATTGATATACCATAGGTTAGGCCAGAATCTACTAATAATAAACAAATATGCAGTACGCTCTAGGTATAGTTGTTGGCCTATACATTTAGTAAAGGATTAGGGTACATTATCCCTTTATACACTATAACCTCATTGATTAGCGTACATCATCACTTTATACACTATAACCTCATTGATTAGTGTACATAATCACTCTATACACTATAACCTCGTTGATTAGGGTACATCATCACTCTATACAATATAACCTCGTTGATTAGGGTACATCATCACTCTATACACTATAACCTCGTTGATTAGCGTACATCATCACTTTATACACTATAACCTCATTGATTAGTGTACATCATCACTCTATACACTATAACCTCGTTGATTAGGGTACATCATCACTTTATACACTATAACCTCGTTGATTAGGGTACATTATCACTTTATACACTATAATCTCGTTGATTAGCGTACATCATCACACTATTCACTATAACCTCGTTGATTAGTGCACAGCATCACTCTATACACTACAACCTCGTTGATTAGCGTACATCATCACTCTATATACTATGACCTCGTTGATTAGCGTACATCATCACTCTATACACTATAACCTCGTTGATTAGCGTACATCATCACTCTATATACTATGACCTCGTTGATTAGCGTACATCATCACTCTATACACTACAACCTCGTTGATTAGCGTACATCATCTCTCTTTAGATTATAACCTCGTTGGATTAAAGGGACTTTAAACGTATCTTCAAGTGGGCCAATAAGTAAAGAGTTGCAGACCCGATTCAAATCAAAAACAGTTTGTATTTTTATCTGAGACTATATAAAAGGCGTGAGCTGAAAAGGTACTATGTGAATCTGGCATGCCTCTCTTTACTTGTAGGGTTACTTGAAGTTATGTCAAAGACCCTTTAAGAAACATCTTGTTTCAGTCAATTTCCGATTATTCCAATAAAATATTTATTTTACAGCCCGAGTTCTTAGTCCACACGATCTTAAGATTCACTCCAACCAACATGTCGACAACGTTTTCCCATGTCTTCAATGCCAAGAAGTAAGTTAAATGTCTAATAAGATTTAAAGCCTTTATCTAATCAAGCCTAAGAATGAAAGTATTAGACTGTGAAGAAATTATTATATTCAGGGCAATTCTGGTTTTCTTACTTTTTCATTTCTAGCTTTCATGTTACCAGTTACAATATCTGCATTGAATCTGCGCCCACTAATCCATCATTTTTTTTTGAGACGGAAATTATATCAAACAGGAAGGGTTTGTTTTAATGAATAATTGATTAGAGGATAAAACGATCAACTAGCATTTTTAGAATAGCAGTTATAAGCTCCACATTTGCATTTAATTTACATTATGGACCATTAAAGAGGTTTCCAATAGATGCACTGACAATATTTAACAAGAAAATACATTTTAAAAATCTATATCGAGTTATTTTTAGAAGTTCAGCTCCTTCAGTTTATTGGCTTTACACCTTTTTCAAGAGCATAAGTGCATTTTTAGGTAATTTCATCTTTAAAATAATAAAAAATGGCCTCACACATGAAAACTAAATCCGAAACTCGGGAAAAAATCGACACTTCAAGGAAAATATTTTTTTTCAGTATTGAAATTTTTCTAATTTTTTAAAATAAAATTTTTAACGATAAGTTTATTACATCATTTCTAGATTACTAATATATTTCTAGAGGAGAGTCGGAGATATATGTGAACATCTCTACTAATATCAATAATGGCGTATTAGGCAGCAACTCAAACAGTGACAGGATCAATACCTATACAAATATGGACGGTGTTAAAGTGTTTAGTCAGATCTGTGGTGAAGAAGAACAGTTCTTTATTATTGATGAAGACAGAGATGATGATCAGAATCCAGAAGAAGCAGAAGGAGTGGATACTAAACCTGAAATTGATCCTGGAAAGGTGCAATCAATAAATCAACCTTTTATAGCTCTAAAACCTAGCAGAGAGTCTTACAAGGATGATATTCTACTTTATCGTCCTATTAAGGTATTTAATACGTGTCCTTCTTTTTCTTATTTGGATTGTGTAATTTGAACTTTTTTTTAACTTTTTATAGATAAAAAATAGAAACGCATTCCTAAGATTTGGTAATATATAATATATATATACTGGGTTACCCCCGAAAGATTAGACTGTAAAGACGACCTAAAACTCTTTAAACATGACAATTCCAAGGTTAAACTATGTCTTCTGTCTCGTATATAGTCTTTTAATAACTCAATAAATGATTTGGCAAAAAAAATCATAAATCATAAATGTCAGGAATCAGACGGTATGTCATTCCGTAAAATTGTCTCTAAAAATTGTGGGTATTATTGTGGGTAACCCTGTATATAAATTTTGCCTGTCTGTTTGTCTGTGTCCAATAAACGTCAAAACGACTGAACCAATTGGGCCTAGGGGGGGGGGGGTTAGAGTTCTAAAATTAATTTAGACCTACAGATTTAATCTAGATATTTTTAGTTTGCAACTGGTTTTCCTCAGCCAAGAGTTTTAAACCAAAGTTTAAAAACTGATCTTACGCTAATAAATGGGGCACAGGTAACAAAAATGTTGAAATAAATAAATATCAATAGAAACAATGTCTGAAAAGGACGACGTAGATGTTTTGTCCTGTTGACAACAGTTCCATTTAAAAAGGCTTCGTCAGATCAAGAACAATTGAGTATCCATGTTGTGCTTTCCCATGAAGGACGGTTTTTTATACATTTTGGATCAAGTCAAGATTTGAACGGTACCATTGAGAATGGGTCTCTTAAAATGGAGGATCACTGAAAATTACACCAGTCCTTAGAAGAAGAAACAAAATCATCTTTTAAATACTTCAGGTCGTGAAAAAAGAAGCGGATTCATTATATATTGAACTGCGCTCTAATATCAAGGTAAAATTTTGAAAAAATACAGCTAAGTTCAATCATATAGAGGCATCGGAAGAATTTATAAAATGTTGTATTCCTTACTTTCTGATGAAATGCTGTCAGTACTATTTAGTTTTTATGGAAATGATTATATGGAGCTCTTGATTACTGTTCTCGCCTATTCATGGATATTTATTTATTTTTGAAATTACTGAAATTTACGTATAATAGTAATAAACCCATTGAAAAATTGTCAAGACGACATTTTATAAATTTTCTTATTTCACAAAATCTCTGGGTTAAACTGCAAAGTGTAAATATATTCAGTAATATTATTTTTTAGAATTGTAATGAAGAAAAATCTTCTTCTGTTCTTGAAGTTAAAGAAGAAAACAAAGAGAAAAGAATAAATTTTGAAGAAGATAAAAAAATGAATTCCTTTAAAATGCCGTCAACTCTGAAAAAAGCGAAATTAACTTTGCACCCCCTGGAACCCAGTGACGCACTGAAATCTATAAGAAAACTTGAGGCAGAGACAACAGCTCAAGAACAAGAAAATAGTTTGCCAACTTCAAACAAAGGCAATTTTTCATGTCCGTGGGCCGGCTGTAAGAAATCCTTTGTTCAAAAGTGTTCAGTGAATATGCATATAAGGAAGGGTAATAATTCAACGATTTTAACCAAGTCAAGTCCTTTTTTGATCGAAAAGAAAAGTTATTCAGTATTCACTCCATTTCTGCAAAATTACTAACCTACTTATCCGCGTCCCTCCCATTTGGTAAGTACGGCCCCTGTTGCAAATAAAGTTTTATTTGTACCATACTAAACTTTACAGTAATAGATCATTGTGATCTTAAACCAGGGAACAGGAATAAAGGGAAAGGAAATGGCGCTGGTCCGGATAGAGAAAGCCAGTCGCACTGCTTTGCAGACCAGTACAGTAAACTGACACACACTATTCTGGTACAGACACACAACATGACTACAGTCAAGGAAATTGTAGAACAATGTCGTCGATTTTAATTAAATTTGAATAACGAGTAGTTTATTGTAAACTTTAATAAAATTGTATTCTTTGCATGAAAATTTGGCTTTATAGTGTTGACTTAAATATGTAAATAATATATTACATGTATATTAAACATATGTTTAAGTGAACAATTAACAATAAACAAATGTACTCTCCTAGACTGTACAAATCCCGAGATTCTTACGTACTGTATAAACCTACAGTACAAACCTTTGGTACAGTAAACTGACACACACTCTTTTGGTACAGACACACACACATGACGTTTCCGCCCCCTGTCATAAACACAGTTGTCTAATACCAAAATGTTATGGTATCCATGTTATCATCGTATGACATATTATTCGGTAAACAGTTTTTACTAGATAGATCAAAGATGACCTTTTATAGAAATACATCTTGTATTTTGGCAATGATTATCATCATCATCTTAATATTTAATTTTGGTATTTATATTTTGAATTGATTGATAATATATCCATTTTTTTTTAATTCTTGAATATTACTCTTGTCACAGGAATGTTCACCAAGCAAGACAGGTTCAGTGTACTGAATGTGAGAAAGTCTATTCTAATCTAGACAATTTGAAAACGCACATTCAGGAACATTATCAAACTTTAGGAAATTATTTAATATGGACAAATTTATCTCAGCAAATATGGAGAAGTTGTTTCCAAAACAGTTTTCTTGTATTATTTTCTAGTTAAAACTTTGATATGCCTGATAGGCAGTACATGAACGAAAACCTACAGCGTGCCCCAAGGTTGGATGCAACAAGTTGCTTTCAAGCAGACGACAGATGCAGAGCCATCTGTTGAAACATTCACAAACTAAGAAATCCTGCACAATTCCAGGTACTACAGAGAATAAAATTATTGTCATTTTTTACCCCTCCAATAGTACGATTTTTTAACTTCCTAAACAAGATTATTTTTATTTAACATCTTATTGTAATCTTATTAAAATTGTTTTAAAATATTTTTTTCATAAAATAATTTTTCAAATTTTCCCCCCGTTTACTTGGTTCATGTGGACAAAGGTTCCGTTGAACTGGGAACCATACCTACAGCTTTAGTAGAGGTTTTCTGAGACATTGCTGATACGGAAATGATCCGGAATATTTAGAGACCCTGGCAAACTTTAAATATTTTTTATAGGATGTAGAGCTGTTTTAAAAAACATGGTTACACTAAACGGACATATTAGAAAAGTCCATCGATTGAAAACAAACCAAGAAATATCCAAGAAAATATTAAATCAGAAAGACAAGAATTTAAGTGCTGCTTATCATCCAGGAGTAGATGTTCATAAATTAAATGAAGAAACCAATTTAGACATGGACTCTGTTAAAATTATCGAAAACACATCTCCAGGAAAGATATGTAAAAAAATTTCATAATTCTAAGGTACTTAAAAGAATTTTTGAGACCGATGTAATTATTCTATTATTTTTAAATATTATGTGTTCTCAACAACAACTGCTTATTTTATAGAGCTATTGATAAGAAGGGGGGGGGGGGGGACTTTGGAAATTGTTTCTTATATTGAGTTAAAAAATATGAAACCTTTTTTTGACATTTTTTAGATAATAAATGTTGTAATTTTTTCCAGGCCTAATTTTCAATTTTAACCTTACCTGTTATTATGTGAGTTGGACCTGATTTGATAATCCGTTAATCCAAACAAACCGACAAGCAAAAAATATAGATTAAATATCTTTTGTTAAGGAAAGCAAATAATAGTGATAAAGAAAGAAAAAAGTAAGAAACCTAATGAAGCCACAGTAACCACCTATACGTGGAAACCAAAACCTCAAGAAGAACATATTAAAAAGCTGAAGTGATAATTAAATATATTATTTTGTATGAAAAAAGTTTTAAAATTCAAGATAATGTTATACTTGTTTATCTATGAATTTCATGTTGGTATGAATGATTAAAAAATACAAGGTATCTTTGAGACAAATCTGAAGAACTATTTATTACATTTTTTAACCCTAAGCTTATTAAAAAAATTGTCTTAGATATTTTATCGAGTGTTATTTACTTTGCCATTCAGCTTGTTCATATAGCTTTACACGCTGCCCCTGTACAAAAGATATGTTCTAAGTACAAGTTCTAGTAATATCCATATTTTCTAGAATGCAAGGTTTTTTTAATGTGTATTTAAAGCGATTTTGCACAACTAAATTAAATCACATGATCTTGTAGATTTATTTTCAGTACTTGGCCATGGTTTCTGTAATCCAGTCAATGAAGTAGGAAGTCTGAAAAACAATATTTTTAAGCATTGATTAAATTTAAAATTCTACATTGTTTTATTTTTGGGTAGTCAAACCTTCTTAATATGTAAAATGATTTGTAAAACGTTAAAGCTTATCTGAAAATTGTTGAATAGCAATTTATTTTTTAACACATCTGGTTTGGGTTTCTTGTGTGTTGTGTGAACCAAGTACAATGTACACTGTTCACTCCTGGATTTATTTGGTTTGGTGTACTTGTGTGTACACTTCTGGTATATTTGGTGTGGCGTACTTAATATATTTGGCTTGGTGAACTTGTGTGTACACTCCTGATATATTTGGTGTGGCGTACTTAATATATTTGGTTTGGTGTACATGTGTGTACACGCCTGAGTGGGAAATTTATTAGTGTATTGTTGAACGAAACTCCAGAGTTTCCTTTTCAAGGGATCTAAACATTTGCGTAAATTTTTATTTAAGAAATCAGAATGTGAATAAACTACATGAAATTATAATTCTTAGCAAAGATGCAAAGATATTGGTATCTAAAAAACTGCCTGACCCCATTCATGAAACTGGGTTTCATTACGATACTCTGTGCTAAGAGGCTTCAGGCTCTGGTATATTATGTTTGGTGTACTTGTGCGTACATATCTGGTATGTTTGGTTTGGTAAAATTGTGTTTACTCCTGGTATATTTGGTTTGGTGTACTTTTGTGTACACTCCTGGTATATTTGGTTTGGTGTAATTGTGTGTTCTCCTGGTATATTTGGTTTGGTGTAATTGTGTGTTCTGGTATAATTGGTTCGGTTACCTGTGTGTACACTCCTGGGTAGCCTGCTCTGCCGCAACCAATTCCCCAGCTCACAACACCAAGCAGAGTCTATTTAACATATGTATCAATATCAGGCATATTTAGTCTCATGATCAATTTTAGTTGACATTCACAAAATAGTAACATAATACATGGACAGATGTGTCAACCTATAAATAACATGACTTAATTTTCTAAAAAATCCAGTCAAACTATGTCATACTACCTTTTCCAAATATTTGTCGTACTTTGTTAGAAATTAAAATCTTAACTTCTTCTGAAATTATTATTTGTTACCTTTTCAGTAGCATGGATGAAGGGGCCACCACTGTCACCCTGGCAGGAATCCTTTCCTATTAATTAATTTAAGATTTGATTAAGAAGAAAAAATTATATTTTTTTTTTGTCTCAAAGTAGAGGATGTGAAACACAATCCAGTATGAGATCTAAGCATTTTAATAACTCCAAGACCAAGTGTGGTTCTTTGTAGCACTTAGCTTATATATTTTTTTAGTTACTGTCCAACAGGGGACAGTTAGAAATGGGCTCGTAAGGCTTTTTTCATTTTGTGAGTTTTTTTTCAATTGTTCGAAAAAATATTATTTTCTTTGTTCTCAAAAATATAATTATATTTTCAGCTATTGCGATTATTTTCTCAGTGAATGATCGTGTAGTAAAATCGTTTGTTTAGTAAAATTGTTCTTCCAATACAGTTGTCTGTTCAGTAAAAAATGAAATTTTTTAAAAGTGTTTTTGAAAAAAAAACTTTGCCAATCTCCAGCAATCGTTAGAAGAAAGATGAATATAGATTGAGTTACCTCCATCAGGGAGACCAGCACAGATCATGGATGCAGTTACAGAAATACCGGAGCTTCTACAAATATTTTTGGAAGTTACTAGGGAGTAAAACTTCTTACTTTAATGACAATTTCATTTTGGAAATGATTTACTCAATCAGTACTGTAATGGATAGCTTCAACAAAATAAACAATCTCATTTCTTATAAAAAACCATTTCTTAAGGAATACAATCTGATTATACATGAATGTATTTCAAATTCTTCATTTTATTACAAGGATACTTTTATTTGTCTCTTGGCTTTTAAATGATATTTTGATAAATTTCTAAAAATCATCTCAAGTGAAAAATTAATATCTTACGCATAGTTTTTGTTACACTCTTCATCACTAACAACAGGAACATTAACCTTGTGGAGAACATTAGGGAGGCTGATACCACCTTCCTAAAGTTAATTTGCAGATCAAAAAATTGCACAATCAATTATTGGGCATTCTTTTCGTTCCATTTTGAAAATCAAAGTTTTTTCACATCTTTTAAAATCATGTTCTTTAAGTAAATCTTTCCAGTTCAACTATATTTACCCTTTTTCACATTCAGATACGTGATCAAAGCAACAACAATCGTTAATTACCATCTGCCATAATTATTCACATTGAAAACCGCAACAACAAAAGTTATGTCTGCTAAACTTTTGAAATATATGAAATCTCAACCCCATTTACTGTTTAAGGACCTTTTAACTCTGTGAAGAAAGGATTCATGGATTGCTTAAAATTGATGTAAACCAACATACTGACTATTCGGGATCAATTGAAATAGCATAAGGTATAAAAAAAACTTACATTGAGTGTGCCCCAACCAGTGACAGTACAGTCAGTTCCAGCTTCAGTCTCTTCCATAGCTGCAGGCAGAGCAATGGGCTGCACCCATTCAGTGAATTCCAGGGAGCTCTTCAGCTGTAAAAATTTCAGGTAGTTATTTTCAAAATTTAAATATCATATTAAAAATTCCATGTATTACCTTTAGCATACAGATATCATTTGTAAGGTCATTAGAATCGTAGTCAGGGTGACCTAAATGTTTGATTTAATATACAATAAATAAGATCCATTCAATTTAACAAAAAAATCAATACCATTATATTTCTTGTATCTTACAAATCATGTGGATAGTTGAGTAGAATAACAGTAAACTATTGGATTTTCTTTTTAAGTGCTGATAAGTTGTATACGAATACTTCTTTATAAAATTAAGGGCTAATAAAGAAGGTTTTAGAAAGACAAGACATTTTCCCATGAAGTATTTTTGATACTCTTTATCCAATAATAAATTTATTTTCTCCTAAAATCATTCATTTTCCTCAAATCTGTGTATAAACCTCTAAAACTCGGCAAATCATATCTAATTTCCGGGGGGAAAAGATGTTTAAAACAGGAGGGGGGAGTTGGGGAGAGAATGACTTTTTAAATAAAATATACACCCCTAAGTCATTGTCCACCAATATATTTTACATTAAAAAAAATTGTCTCTTACCTATAATCTGTTCAATGTCAATCTTCTGTTCTTCTCCTTCCCCAGAGTTTAGCTTGATTCCTCCAGCAACAACGTGCATAAAGGCAGGTGTCTGAATTATAACATCAGTTTCAGCTTATAATATTTTATTCAGAGAAAGTATAAATCTCTATCAAGCTTTGGACTCATTTACCAAGTATACATCTCCGCGAGTTTTGAAATAAATAAGATTTAAGCCTTTGTTGCAATTTATAAAAAGTTTATTGATGTTTTTCAATCTCAGTAACACTCAAAAATACTGTTTATATACATATAATAAAGCTATATGTTAAACAAAAAAATGTCAACCTAATTTTAGAATTGGAATTCTTTAATTTTAAATCATAAAATACCCTAAATAAAATTAAATTGACAAATGAACACCGCAAATTGTTTCAATGACAATGCTAACTGTTAATGTATCTCTCTTGTCAAGTTTACTGTCGGATCCTGTTTTAGCACTACCTGTCCTGCGCAACAATGGGCTGCAGTCACAATCCAATCCTTGTCAATAACTGATCCTCCACAGAAATGAGTTGCTCCAATTCCTCTAAATTACATCATAATGATATAGATCCTTGCTGGCGAGTGGCGAACTGTTGTTTGACAAAGTCCTAAGTTTTATAAACTTGTTAGTTTGTATTGCTCTCTATTTATTTCTTATTGTAGTCCATTTGCCAAAATTTTGACTTTTGACGCTACTGAGGATCTTTACAATATATGCTAATTTCTAAAAATGTGTCCCGAGCTGAAAACTTTAGAATGAGATATCCTTAATCCTGATTACTTAACCTGAATATACAATGGACACACGTACTTTTGATTTTCTTCTTGAACCGTTCTTTCTTGGATATAGTAGAGAAAAATCAAAAACCGGTTTTTTAAATGAGAGAGTCCCACCCGTTTTATTTATAATCCTAAATCTTATCGGCTTCATATATGCAACTCTGATTGGTTGAATTTTATACACTTTTCAGGAGACAAGTACAAGATTAGATTAGTCTCGATATTAAGAAAAAGAGAGGATCACACATTTATCTTGATATCCACCATTCTAAAGTTTTCAGCTAAATCTTTTCAATTATTTTAAGTTGTGTGATAAAAAAATACTTTTTCAAGAACAGTTATGGAAAGAAAAAAGAAATTTTTTCAATTATTTTTTCAGATTGTTTTATCACTTACGCGATCTGTCTGAGGGAAACCTGCCAGGGAAACTCTCCATCTTGAGCTTCTTCTCCACCAACAATACGTCCTACTCCAACCTGGTCCCTGATAGGGGCTGGAGGTACAACCAGGCTCAATCCTAAGGAATGCACTCATTCAAATAATTTTGATTTTTTTAGAGCTTTTTTATGCTAAATGAACTGTCACCAAGTTATGCAATTTACTAAAAAATATTGAAATAACATTATTTGATGTACTGATCAAATACATTACGTAAATTGGTAAGTAGGGTAACACTAACAACACTTTTTGTGAACATTTTAAACATTGTAAAAATTAATACAATATTTATTTATGAAAAAATAGTCATCATATTTTTTTATGTCTTGATTTTCATATTTTATCCAAGAATTTTGATCTAAGAATGTATTATAGAAATAGATAAAATACTTTGCTCTCAATGAATCAAGTAATCTATGTTGGTTTTCAATTTCGAGTTATTTAAAACTTTTTAATTATACTTTTTGTTTTTTCCTGTAACTGCATGATAGCGAAAACTAAACAATGAGTTTTTCTGCAAACTAAAATTTATTATCCCTGTATCTTAGCAACTCAATGTCGTAGACCTTTGAAATTTCAAACTATGAATTCTTTGAAATATCAAAGGTTTACACAAACAGGTTGCAAAGATTTAGTGATTAGAAATTTGAGTTTGTGGCAAAAAATCAATTTCTTTTTGGAAAAATAGATTAGCAGAAATGGAATATTTCAACAACAAATATTTAATCCTTATTATTTTCCTAAAAATATACCAACCTGCTTTAGCAGAGACCAAGAGAATGAGTGACACAGCCAGTTTAAATCCCATCTGTAAGGTAAACATTTTTTTAGTTGATCAGCCAACTTAAGTAGATAAAGTCTGAGACACCAAAAATAGATGGGGAGGGGGGGGGGCTACTGTGATACAAATTGCTGGTAAATTCCTTCCATCTCAGTACAAAAACAGATTGTAAGCACTTTAATTTTTAAAGAGGTTTCTCTTCTTTGTCAAGTAAAGAAACTGAGTTGTGCCACAAACTCGTAAATTTCCAATACCTATATTTTAGTCACTTAGACCCTGGGTATCTCAAACTCTGATTTTGTTAGATCAATAGGTCTATTTTTGAAATTTTAAATTTTACACCATATATTAAGTTACAAAGATAAAGGAGTTAGAAAATTTGAGTTTGTAGCAAAAACTCAGCTCCTTTGATAAAGAAGAAATCAAGGAGTTTAAATCCTAAGAAGTTGATTTACCTTGCTTTTCCAAAAGACTGCGTATTATAAAATACAGTTTTCCAAAGATAAAATTATTTTAGATAAGGTTGGAATCTACGTCAAACATGACACAAATGTAAGCTTAGATAAATTGTCTTACAGTTCAATAAAAATATTAATGAATTTTTATGCAGGGTGTCAAAATAAACATTATAAACGGCAAAGTTTTTAAAAACTAAAAGAAGGTTCTGGTAACGAACGGCAGAAATGAACGAAAATAACTGTTCACGAGTACAAAAGATTGGCCACTTCCGTTTATTTTATCGGCAAAATTGCGTAAAGCCTACGGAAAATAAAAGATATGTTTATGTGTGTTAATAATTTTTAAAATATCTTCTATTAACGCTGTTAATAAAAATGAGATTGTTAGTAACTTTGTGTTCGTTTAAATAACTCAACGAACAGCTTAAAAAAATGTCTGAATGTGTCAAGCCTTAACGACTTCTATATCGTTTTTGTGATTATTTATTTATTGTTTTATCATTTTTGTTATGTCGTTTAGAATTTTCCCAATTCTGCCATTTTGAACCTTCAAAATCAAAAACTTTTCATATGTTTAATATCTCTCTCAATTTAAAGATAAAAAGAAATTATTCTCTTAAAACATATCATCTTTTCTTTTTATACTCTTGGTCATTTTTCATGGTTAACTTAGATCAATGAGGATTTTCAGGTTGATTCTTGATTTCCCGTTTCTAAAGGGACACCCGCTGTTGTGAACAAATTATTGTCTGTTTTGTTAAAGTTAATAAGACTCGATTATTTCCTATCCTTTGAAAGAACTGCTTGACCCGACTGTTTCCTTTGTAAAATCCATAGATAAAGATAGATTGCGCATAAGACGAAATTTTTCATCTTGAAAGATATGAATGTACAGAGATCTTTTAAAGATATTCCTATTATATAGATTAACTAGGTCGGTTGTGAACATTGGCTGTTCTTATGTCATTGAGTACTTGCGGTGTACATGAGTTCTGTAGAGAGAAATTTAAGTTAGTTTAGTCCTTCTCATGTCCTTCTTCAGTTCTCGTCAATAAAATATATTGCTCAGTGAGTGGTTTAATAATTATGAAATCCATTAAAACACCCAACCACCCCGCTTTCATTGAGGTACACTTTTACCCCTAGAAGTATGAGTTCGCGGACTGTACAATTCTTGGTGATTTTGCGTACATAAGCTATCTATGTTTATTTATTTATCTATGGTAAAATCAGACTGCCTAAACCATTTCGAAATAAGGCTCATTTAAAAAAAATATTTTTAATTATTCAATAGATTTTAGGAATATCTTACAAATCATTACAACCCCTAAATATCAATTAACCTACTCTGTTTTTCCATTTTTATTTAGTTATTGGGGGCCTCAATGAATTTAATTTCCTGTATATATTTAATTGACCAAAGGTATTTATAAAATCCACAAAATGTTGTAGATGTATTGAATAGGCCGGCTTGCAAACAACTTATTTTTGTATTTTCAAAAATTGATGGATTTATCAAGTATTTAGTTAACCTTAAATATTCAATAAATTTAAATTTTAACAAATTTCGTAAAATTCCAATCTTTTTTGAAGTTATGAAAATCGAATTTTTGATGATTCATTATCAAAGAGAATAGAATATATATTAGAGTGGAATTTAGACAATCCTTCAGTGTGAATTTTTTCAGTCCCTTTCAGCCTGAAAGGGAGTTCAAAGTGTACAAATCATGTAAATGTTCACAAATTATATGCGGTAGAGTACATTAATACAGTATGTTCCCTAGACTGTCCATTTCAATTTTCGAATTTTTTTAAGCTGTTAAATAAACTTTATAAAATGAATTAGGTGAATAGAAAACATCATTTGATTTATAGTTATAACGGAAAATCATCGTTTGTAAAGTGAAAGGCATAGAGTCTATGTAAAATGATCATTAATCAATTATGAAACCAGCCTATTTCATAATTTGGTTTTCTTTTAATATTAATTTTAGATTTTCTATAAAATGATGTTCCAGGGCCTAAAAGGTTATATAGCGCAAATATGTGAAGTACACCTGCAGTATGGAAACAGTACAACAAAATGGCCGTTTTACACTATTTCTAGTAAATTCCACTTTAATATATATTATATTCTCTTTGTCTATTAGAGATTCCTACCCCTTTCTTTGTATTTAAAAAAAACTTATTTTATAACGTATTTGATAAGCTAATAGATAAAATATTAGAATACAAATTTGTTATTCTTTTATGGAAAAAAAATACTAAAAAACTAAAAACTGGGAATGAATAAACAAAAAAAGTTCAAATCTTTATTTCGATATTTTTTTCCCAAACATTATTTCCAGATATAGAGAGACAGAGCCAAGGAAAATTCCAGCAGCTGACAAACAAGAAAATATTAAAGGGAGATATCATCAAATTTATAAACAGGGTTGCAGTAAAATCAACTGATCAGAATAGAATTTCCTCGAATTGAAGGAAAAGCTTTCTCCGTAAAATACAAATTTTCAAGATTTTAATTTTTGAGAATAATTTACAAATATTGATTTTTTTTTCTCCAGTTACTTGAATAATGTCGAAACCTAACTTTCGTTCATTTTGTTTTTGCCAATTTTGAATTAAACTCTACACGGCCATATGATTGTTTGTTTAAAATTTTCTTATCTTAATTATTGCAATTACAAGAAACGTGTATAATAATATTCCAATTCACTGTACTTCAACAAAATAATAAAAAAAAAACACAGCCGCCATAAAATGTCCATAAGGGGCTGTTCAGAGCAGTATTTTGGAGTATTCATGCCATAAAATAGGTGTTTAATCTTTTCAGTATCCTTAGGAATTGTTTTAAAGTAGATTGGATAAATTTACGGACTTTAATCTCTAATGTTTGCCTAGTATTATGAGAGGGAGATAAAATATTTGAAGTTTTAGTGCATCCAGGGGTTCATCTTCGGATACTTTTAGAGGAGTTCCTAGACAAATATATGATTATTCCAGGGGTTCATCTTCAGATACTTTTAGCAGAGTTCCTAGACAAATATATGATTATTCCAGGGGTTCATCTTCAGATACTTTTAGCGGAGTTCCTAGACAAATATAAAATTATTTCAGAGGTTTATCTTAAGTTACTTTTAGAGAAATATATATTTACATTATAACAATAAAAGCTATTATTGTTGGACCAACTAAAGTTAGTCTAAATACACAAAACATTCCCTTGGGGCGAATATACTTCCATTGAACTCTTTTTAATCAGATGCTTCGTGCTAACTAACTCCCCTATGGAACTCCAGGGCTGAGATCACCAACGACCTGCTCTCTCTGCTCGCAAAATAAAGGCCGCTCTCCAGATAAGAAATAGGATTCAATACCGTTCCCTCTACACTGTTTTTCCTTTCGCCAGCATCGATCCTTGCATCCATGGACGGCGGGTAATATCTCTGGATAAGAAAAGAGGTTCAATACCCTTGTCCCCCTACACTGTTATGTATTGAAGGCTGCAACATACCCCAAGTTCAATACGTTAGATTTAGATTGTTTGGCTTTTTTCTTAGATTGCATTTGTTATTTGCATCATTTCTCCGACTGGAAGCAATGAACTTATATGTGATTATGTACATATAGGGATGAACCCTGGTTGTGTTCACATCCACTCCTGATTCCATCATCATTTATCATTTGAAATAATCTTCATCATGGCCGCTTCCATTCCATTAAAAGTGTCATTTTTATTTTTATTCCTTTACCTTTATAGAAAATCCTACATCGATAAATTAAAAGTATATACAATTTATAATTACCTATGTGATATCTTAAAATCTTCTTTGAAATTCCTAAAACAAGAAATTTTTTAAAATGATATTTCTATCCTTTTTAAGATCACACCATGAAAGTAATTTATTAAGATATCATTATAAATTCAATTTAAAAAAAAATAAAAAGTCTCTAGGGGTTTACAACATAACATTGCATAAGGTCTTCTTGAACGTAGGTGGGGTAGTGTAAGACATACAAGGTGTCCCACAAAACATGACAGTTGGTAAATAGTTTAATATGTCTTCTTCCATAATTTGTTTAATTGTTTAATACATAAGACAATAATAAAAATATCATAAAGGATTCATGTTTTCATAAAATTACTTTTCAAAGTAAAACATATTTGAGCAAAACATTTTTTAAACGAAAGAAACTACATAAAGCCTTTACAATCAAATACAGTGTATGGAAAACGACATTCAAAACTTTCTACCAGCTGTCATGTTTCGTGGGATCAGTATTCAGTCCAAACTATACAGTGAAATTCTAAAAAACCCGAAATAATGTAGATTAATTGATGAATTTAAAGTCGTCTTTAACCTTAGAAGTAGTTTGTGGCATCCAACATTTAGGTGACATGATTTTAGCAATATTTTTACAAAACAATATGCATAGAATAGCTGCCATTTCTGCCGTTTCCAAAATGTAGTCTGCCATTTTTTGACCTCAAAAATACCGTAGATATTATGTTTAAATTTCAATTTATTAAATCAAACAATGAAGAAGTCTCATTCTGAACGGAATCATTCATATCTCCGTTAATTAGGAAAGCACAAAAATGGTAGACCACATTTTGGAAATGGCAAGCGCTATTTTGTGATTATTATTTTATAAAAAAAAATCTGAAATCAGTTTTCCTTAGTTGAATGCAGCAAACTATTTCTAAGGTCAAAGGCAATTTTGAAGTTTTCAATTAATCTACATTATTCTGGGTTATTTAGAGTCTCACTGTAGCATAATTTACCTGTGTCTTCCAGTCTTGAGACCATTCTGGTGAATGTCTCCCTGAAGTATATATGCCTGCTGATATACCAACCAATACTTCCATACGAGATAAGGGGCTTAGAGGCAACATGGAAGGTCACCTTTCCTTGAATCCTAGGTGTTCACAGTAGGGGTATATATTTTATCAAAAATATCCCCCCCCCCTATTAAAAATCAGTTTTCCCCAAAAATTCTTTAATTTAATTCACTGAAATAAGGGAAATAAATGAATTTTTGTGTTTAAAGGTAGGAAAACTTGCCAGTCTATTTTTATCTCCCGGACCATAAAAATTCTGAAACTTATTTTAAAAAAAATATTATTCAGAACTTTTACCTTTGGAGTTTTTCCATCTTATTGTCAAATACATAGTCATAGCCTACATATATTATTCAGTCATTATAGCTCTTGAAAGAATTTAGCATGATTTGAAAATTGTACAGGGATGGACACTTTTAAAATAAATAAATTTTTTTTTATTTTTAACCCAATCTAGACATCTGATTTGAATGCTTTTACGTATATTTAATTTTTGGGGGTATTAATTGAATAGATTTCACCAAATTTAAAGTTCTTCAACCTCAACAACGTCCTCTACTGGACCTCTAAACTCTGTAGACATATTACACAGCCGGTGTCACGTTAAATAAGGCCCGGGCGTTATATTTGGTCCGGGTGATTGTTACATGGGAAATCCATGTACAAACTGGATAGGAGGGGGGAGGGGGGGGTCAAAAAATCGTATATTAGGAAATTACCACCGGTTATGTACAAAATTGATAGAACGGGGGGGTGGGGGAGCCCAAAAATTGTTTACTTTGACGGACCCAAAGCATGCACATTATCATTGTTATTGAAATTATTACAATTTTTTGTTTGGTAGGCCATAAAATTAAAAAATAGAAGCACACACATTATGTACATTATTTAGGCATGTTTTCCTCTCTTTTGCAGACTAAAATTTTAAATGTGTTTGTTTTATATAATATATCGTTTTTGCTTAGGTCGTCTTTGTATTGCACCCGGGCCAAATATTACCCAGTTCTGGATGTAACGCTACACTGGTCCTAATTTAACCTCAACAACGTCCTGTACTAGACCTCTAAACTTGTTACATTCTGATGAAGTTAAGGGTGTAAGGTACTTTTCCATAGGCATTTTCTCAAGGGCGACTTCCCAAGTGACAATTTCACAAATGGCAACTTCCCAAATGTGCAATTTTCCATACAGCAACTACTCAAAGGTTAGGTTAGGCTTTGTGTCGCAGGCTGCAATGGGGGCTGAATAGTGCAGCTAGGATAGAATTGGAAAGTTGCCGCTTTGGAAATTGCACATTTGGGAAGTTGCCACATGGAAAACGCCTTTGGGAAAATGCATATCATCAAGAGAACAGTTCTTTTAATTGGTAAATGAGGCTGAATTTCCTGTTAAGCAGCTTCCATTTTGAATAATTGTAATCAGGTTCGACTCCTCGCAGTTCCTTAAATTAGACAATTGTCAAGTATTGTCAAAATTTTAGAAACACGTCTTTAATTACATTTTTTAATAAAAAAAATAGATTAAGGCCCCGCTGTTGCCCATTAAATTAGATAGCACTTATAAAATAACCCACATAAAAGCGACTAATTTCTCCATGGGGGGGGGGGGACAAATGTAAATTTTATATTTTTGTTACATCTTCAAAAACTTTTATGGAAAAGGCTGAGATGTTTTAATTTGAAAACTTAAAAATTGGATGAAATTAATCAAGGAAGAAACTTACACATCAAAGTCCAGGTATCTGTTTTGTTCCCTAAAGAATAAAATTATATAGATTGAACCAATTATGAATATCAAATCATTTTCTTTTCCTAAAAACAGGAGTTCCAATGATCATATCATCATGGAAACTGAAATTCCTGTAACTTTCAGATGAAAACTGGAATTCCAATCATTTCCAGATGAAAACTGGAATTCTACTCAACTCTCTGGATGAAATCTGGAATTTTAGTCATCTTTGGATAAAATCAGGAATTTTAGTCATGGATAACAACTGGAATTCTACTCATCTTTGGATAAAAACTGAAATATCAGTTCTGTATGCTTAATGCCTATATACCCCCCCCCCCCACACGTACGGTGGGGTATTCTAGGGGGTCATAGGGGGGTGACTGGTTTTTGTCACAATATCTCCTCTTAAAATGCATTTGTCTTGTGTTTCTTGTTGAGAATGGACAAAATATTCTGATAATCTTTTCATTTACAACATTTTATGAATTGTAGCTAGCATTGCTTTATAATGATTTCAATTTATAATTACTTTTCCCGTTCATATCTTTATCCTTGAATAGATCCTGTAATCCTGCAATATATTTAGAAGTCGTCTTAGTGGTTTTTCGGTCGAAATTCTTATATAAAACCCAACATTTAAACAACTTAGAGACTTCTCTCAAAAAAATCTTAAGTGGCCAAGCCTTATTTGACATAAATAAGAGATTAATGGAATAAACTCATTTTGGCTGACCCCCCCCCCGCCCTCCCCTAATACCCCACTGTGTTCCCCCCCCAATCTTGGAAAATATTAACTGGAGTAGCTTCAGATCGGTATCATATCCTCCAAGCATCCTGATCCTATGGTGGGATAAAGTCAGGTTCATCTCAGATCTCATCGTCAAATCATCTAAATAATCAATAATAACTTTGATTTGGTTAAATATAGCACACTCCAAGTTATTAACTTTTTCAAGCAAACCAATATTCTACTCAAAAGAGCACCAGAGCTGGGGTGACACTGATAGCCTGAGAACTGTGCAAGCCTATGCCTTCCCTTTAACATACTTCGTAACATATTATTACAACAGAGGGTTATAGAAAGGGTATATTTAGTATTGTACATTTAAAATATAGAAAGGGTATATATAATATTGTATGGAAATATAACCAACTTTGTGTGGAATTATTGCTAATACAATATACGGGGTTTTAGTCAGGTCGGTACGAATTTAGAAGTGAAGTTCCGATCTCTCACATTCTTAGATTGGAGTGAATTTAAGTGCTGTGTTAGGTCATAGTTCTAATGTGTGCAACTCCTACCCCTCTTTCATAGTTCTAATGTGTGCAACTCCTACCCCTCTCTCATAGTTCTAATGTGTGCAACTCCTACCCCTCTCTCATAGTTCTAATGTGTGCAACTCCTACCCCTCTCTCCTAGTTCTAATGTGAGCAGCTCCTACCCCTCTCTCATAGTTCTAATGTGGGCAACTCCTAACCCTCTCTCATAGTTCTAATGTGAGCAACTCCTACCCCTCTCTAAAAGTTCTAATGTGAGCAACTCCTACTCCTCTCTCATAGTTCTAATGTGAGCAACTCCTACCCTTCTCTCCTTATTATTTCTCTTTTTGATTTTTTTCAACTTTCAGTAGATATTAAATTTTTAAAAGACCTACCCATTGAATTCACGGGATCTTCGTAAATCTTCAAGACCAGTTTAGCTCTGAAAATATTAAAATTAATAGAACATAGAACAAAATGGTTATCGTAGGCCATACAGGGTTACCCTAAAAAAATGATACATTAAGGACGACTGTACGGAATTTATAATGTCTGTTTCCTTATATTCATGATTAACTTTTTTCTTTCTTTGTAAAATCTTAAGATAAGACATTTAAAGGCTACATAAAAGGTAAAAGATTTAATTTAAACTTGGTATTCGAAGAGTTTCAAGTCATCTCAGCCTTTGTGGATAACCTTGTAAACAGTAAAAACCGTGTATATTAGACGTTGCTATAATTTTCTTAAGTAGATACATAATTTTACCAGCTTCTTGATTATCGTTTAATAAAATAAAATGGGTGTTTGCAATTTTTACAATGCCCAATTTCTGTCCTCCATTGCAGACTATTTGATGCGGTAAAAATAGAGTTAATATCATTAAGCTTGGGTTTAACACTAACAGTCTTCTTATTCGATACCAGGCACGATATGAGACCATTGATCTTATTTATTAGTTTAATTGATGTTAATATTAACATAAAAATGTTAATGCTAATTGATATTAAAATAGAAATTAACATTTAGGTATATTTAATATTAATGTTAATGTTAATGTTAACTTTATATAATGACAACCATAAACTTTATGAATTGCTTAATGTCAATGTTAATGTTAATGTTAATGTTAACTTCATATACTGACAACCATAAACTTTAATGAATTGTTAAAAGTCAATGTTAATGTTAATGTTAATGTTAATGTTAACTTTATAGAATGACAAGCATAAAATTTAAATAATAGTTTCAAGTCAATGTTAATGTTAATGTTAATGTTAA